ATCTTAATTCTTAAATTTTATTTTTTTGAAATTGATTTAAAAGGACATATTTTAATATTATAATGATGCAAAGATATATATATTAAAAACAAAATTTAGATATAAAAAGAGCTAAATTTCTCATATTTTGAATGTCCTTGACCTTTGACCTTGAAGTAAGTTTCAAGGTCAAGGGTCGAAGATTCATATTCAATTGGTTCCATGTCTCTAAGATTTATCGTTCTCAAAATTTTTCATTATTCATAAACACATTTAAAACTTTCAGGGGCAGTAACTCATAAAAGGGGTCTACAAATCATTTCGTAATGAATAGATTGAAAAGTTTTCTTAAGTAGTCGAAAACATTGGTGAAGGTTTCGTACCTCTACGGTTTATGGTTTTGGAGGAGAAGCGATAACAAGGTTTCTCGTGCAAGGGGCAAGAACTCCGACAGGGATCATAGTTCATATTCAATGCGTCAAATCTCTTCATAACTTTTAATGACCTTTACGATGAACAAAAAAAATTTTCGATAAACCTTGAAACAAAAAATCAGCGGAAGAAAAATAATAATAAACAGAACAATTTCAATAGGTCTTTCCACAGAAAGGTGGAAAGACTTAATTATTCTTGCTTATGCTTTAAAACATTACATGTGCTTTGCAAATAATTGTAGTGTTATACGCTAACTCTTACAAAGTCTACAAACTGATGGAGAACACATTCACAAATACCATTTAATCTTTTATATAAGATTTGCTCAAATTGCAAAACAATAATTTTTAAAAATAAATTTTACTTGTTTAATACTGAATAAATATGTGAAGCATGGGGAGATAAATCTATCGTATTATCTAATTTCTTTCCTAAATTCAAATTTTACAGTAAAATTACTTTTGCAGAGATAAGAAGGATTCAAATCAGCCTTTTAATTTGTTTCTATAAAAATTAATTTCCTTCGATAGTACAGTATAACTTGTCGAATCCGGACACTTCTGGTTCCAAGGAAATTGGCCGTATAAGACAACATTCCGGATTAGATCACATTGTAAACAATTGAATCTATTGTAAGGGACTTAAAGTTTACATCGAATTAGGCAATTTCGGAATACATAACATCCGAATCAGAAAAGTGTCATTGTTTAATGCATTTAAGGTTCTTTATATCTAGGGCTTTATATCCAACTTATACCCATATCTCCCTTTCTAAGGAGGAAATTCTTCAAAACCTTATGTCAGTTTAAATATCTTTAATATTCCAAACAATCAAAATGAATTTGAATTACCATACTATACTGGATTATTACAAACAAAGATACTTATCGGGTTCCAGTAAATATTCTACCAAGCCTCTTTCTTTACTCCTGACTAAAATATTTACAGCAGTCAAGGAGAAACTCTGGAGTACTGTACAAGGGTATATTCGAGAAGTGGTGTAAATCAGATGTGGATGTTTAAAAACACCAAGGAATTTTAGAATATTTGAAATTACAAAATTTTACCAAAATCAATAACATCAAAACGTACGACTTTACAACACTTTATACAACCATCCCCCACGATAAATTTAAGTCCAGGCTTTTTGACATCATAGACAGGTGCTTTTCAATAAAAAAATATACTTAACTTGTCATTGGTCATTTGCAAAATTATTTTGTTAAAAACATTCTGATTGTACAGACAAGCACTCTGAAGTTGATATTAAAAAGATGCTTGATTTTCTGATTGACAATATCTATGTAGGTTTTGGAGATTAGGCTTTCCAAGAATCTGTTGGAAATACTATAGGTACCAATTGTGCCCCCTTATAAGCAGACCTATTTTTGTATTCATATGAAGCAGAATTTATTCAAAAACTTAAACATGAGAAGAAAACACTTGATGTGGCCCTCAACTCAACACTTAGATATATCAACGACGTATTATCAATTAACAATAGTTACTTACATTCATATGTCTATTCGATATATCCAAGTGAGCTTGAAATAAAAGATGCAACAGAGCCTGACACATCTGTTCCATATTTGGATATTTTACTAGAAAAAGACTTTAATGGTAGTATCATAACAAAAATTGCATAAAAATAAGAATGTAACATATTTTTGGTGTATTGGCACTATTTGGCGGAGAGAGTTATACCAAAAATATGTTACATTCTTATTTTTATGTAATTTTTTTTATGATACAGGTTAAAAGGTCAAACCCTAGTGGCCAGCATCTATGTTTAATCTTCAGAACTCGTATCTGTTACTTTCTCCGCCAAATAGTGTCAATACACCAAAAATATGTTACATTCTTAATTTTATGCACTTTTTGTAATGATAGTAGCCTAATAACAACTCTTTATGATAAACGTGATGAATTCAATTTTTCAATCGTCAGCTTCCCTAACTTATATAGCAATATACCTTTATCACCTGCCTAAGGAGTTTTTGTCTCCCAGTTGATTCGATACACAAGAGAATGCTCTACGAATGCACAATTTCTAAAACGAGGCAGGCTATTGACAAGCAAGTTGATGAAACAAGAATATCAACAGTCTTGTTTGAAGTCATCATTTCCCAAGTTTTATGGCAAGTTATAATGAACTTGTCAACAAATACAACCTATCATTAAGTCAAATGCTAACTGATGTTTTTCATACTAATTGTTAGGCCATTTTGTACACACTGAATTATCTACGGATGTTTCTCGATCATGACAAGGAGCACACTGCGGGTGTGACCGGTCGACAGGAGAAGCTCACTCCTCCATGGCACCTGATTCCAACTCTAATGTTTTGGTAGGTCTGTTTTTGCTCTGTCCCGATTTGTATTGTTTAAATGGACCTTGAGCTTGAATATATAGAGGATATTCAATGTTTTGTAGATGAATATGGAATTTATTTCACGAGTGGGACAGGATTTTTTGATATTTTCACGAGTGCGAAACACGAGTGAAAATATCAAAAAATCCTGTCTCACGAGTTTGCCTCAGTCTTTTCTTAACACAGTCTCATAGGCTTGATGTCATAGTTGAGCGGTTGAGACGTCATAGCATAGCAGTTGTGTGATTGAAAACATTACATAGCATGGATTTTAGCAACATATTTGGGAAGAAATTTGCAGTTTTACCTCTATCAAGATGCTTAGTTATTATATCTATCTTATGACAGGCCAGAAATTATTTTTTACCTAATTTGATATCCTTTCACACTGCGAGAGATTGTCATTTTGGTATCCTTTCACACTGTGAGAGAATATCACTTTTATTCAATAAATAAATCACAGTATTTCACTGTTGAACATGTAATAATGTTCGTTATCTTCAAATTTCATGATTGTACTTCAGTAAAGTTATGAAGTACTCAATTATATGCGGAAAAATGCCAAATAAATTGCGAAAGCTTCGTTTTACTGAATAAAGTTAAGGTTTTCAAACATAAACAGCTTATAGATTAATAGGTATGATGACTCGGAAGCATGATGTTTCTGGCATTATTCAGAAAAAATCCTTGTATGAAAGTGTTAAGGCGAGGATAAATATCTTGATCATTTTATTTTTCCTGTTTTAGGGATTCCGAGAGAGAGAGAGAGAGAGAGAGAGAGAGAGAGAGAGAGAGAGAGAGAGAGAGAGAGCTGTCCTCTCAAATTAGGAAACTATAAGGGTTCATAGGAATCAGTTTTACTGACCTTAGAGCGTTAGATCAAAGATGGAAAAAATGGTAGATTGCAATAATGAAGGAAATGAAATTCAAAAACTCAAAGTTCAGGGAACCACTTTAAAACTTTGAGATTTCGTGAGATCAAGAGCTGAAATATATATATTCACATTTCCAATTAATTTTCCCTATGATTCTTTACAAAATAGAAAACAATTCATTTTCTCATGAACTACCATGGATGAGCATGAATATCTCCATTGTTACGTCATAATACCCTAGTTGACGTCAAAACTATAGTGCGAACTGATTCTTGCTTTAAAAATGACAGTTGAACGACGTAATTTGTGGCAACTCATCAGAAAAATAATGTAAATATAAGAAATGAATTTAATTTTTGAAAATTCATAAGATACATGAACTGCAACGCTTCACGCCGGCATATTAACGCACTTCATGAAATATGGCGGCTTGAAGCGTTGTAATTCATGCCCTCATGAATCTTCAAAAATTAAATTCATTTCTTAAATACATGTATCAATTGATTTCTTAATCATATTTTTATTCGTATAATTTTTATGATAGTTGCATAGTTGCTACTAAAAAAATAATTGTTTTAGCTTAACGTTCTAAGTTCATAATTTATTTCATATTATAAATGTCATGGTCATATAAAAACAAAAGTAGAAAATTTTCTGCATAAATGTAACTTAATAAAGATAAATAAACGAAATGCCCTTTGCAAAGTTTTTCAGGTAACATTATTGAGTAGAAACATGTTTGGGATGTTTTATGCTTATTTTGCTTTGTTTTCATAGTTTTGTTCCGTTTGGGAAAATAAACAAAGCAATAGGTCTTTAGTCTTTACTTTAAAATATAAAAAGAATAGATATCAAAGTTAATCCAATTTTTTTCTTACCAAATTAAAAAAAAAAAAAAATGGGTCCGCCAAAATATGGAAATTTTCTCACAAAGATGTAATTCTTTTAAAGTTTGTTTTTTCACATATCAGCTAATCAACATTGTAAATAAATGTCAGTCAAATACCCAAAACTTAACATTAATTAAAAATCTAAAAATATTAACTATTATATCTATCAATATTTTTCTCACTTTAAAAAGGTCGGAGTGTATCCAATAATTAAATAAATCACAGTGATTTTTTATATGACGAACTGATTCAGGCAATAGTTGCTTGACAGAAAAATAAATAAAGGACCCAATATGACGTATTGATTATAGTTATAATGAACATTCATACTGTCATCAGCCACTCATTGTCTGGACATCTAGATTTATCACAACGACAGATGTTTCTCAAATCTAGGATGTTAAAAACCACGTCAAAGTTTAATCACTCACTGAATTCTCACCGTGCTTGGCACTTCCATAAATACAGCACAAAAGCAAGAGACTGCAGTAGATAACGGCCATGCAGTTTGCCTTTTTCTTTGTTCTGCTCTTTTGTTATGCAGCTCAAGTTGTATCCACTTCAACCACGATACCACCAGTCGCTGGTTGTGAATATAACGGAAAGATCTACCCGCCAGGAGACATTCCGGAAATGTCCGGTCAAGATGGGGATTGGTGTTACGGAGGTTACTGTGACTACTCCGGGGGAGCATACAACATCATCAATTGGGATAACTTTAACTGCGTACAACAAACTACAACACCGGCGCCGAGTATGTATTGTATTCTTAGCTTTAAATAAAGGAAATTGTCTTCCTGAACTAGCTCAATATTACATGTTATTTAATTTTAAAAATTGCTTCAAAAAGTAATCATATTATTCTATCGATAGGATTTTGAAATTATTCACCATTTTTAGTATATCAATCAGTTTTTTAAAAAAAAATGGGAAAATGTTCATGAAACACACAATTTAAAGTAAAGCTTCTGTAACAACCTTCCGTGAACTCTAAATAAAGAATACTACAAGACGTTAATGACCAACTTACAAATACATTACAACTGTATATGACAAACGGGGTGACTCCAGTTTTTCCATCATCAACTTTCCTTATTTATGTACATGTAGTACATGTAATATTCCACAATCACCTACTTATGGTGTAAATATTTAACAACTGATTCGATACTCAATAGCATGTTCTGAGTACTTTCATTTTTAGACTTCTGAAAAATAAGCTGATGTTACAGATTTCTAAACTATCGTGTTTATAGTCATCATTTCGTAAATTCTATGTTCCCTATAATGACGGTGTTTGCAAATACAACCTATCATTAGGTTGTATTTTGACTGTTCCCAACCTATTGTTGGGCGATTATTTTTATACCATTTTGAACTACAGATTATTCCTTCTCTTGGTCTATAGAGAGGGATTCTGGCGGATGTGACCGGTCGGCAAAGGATGCTTATTCCTCGTAGGCACCTGATCCTATTTTGGTGTTTTCAGGGATCCGTGTTTTGCTTTCTTCACGATTTGTATTTATGAGATTGATTACTGTTCATAATCTTCATCAAAATGAAGTTTAATGAGTAATTAACTTTTCATCAAGCTAAAACAGGAAAATTAAAGACTCTTAGTTATTATATCAATATAAAGAATATATATTGTATGAAAAAACTTGATTACTTACTAATTACAAAATACAAAAAAATTAAACTAAATAGTTCCATGTGTAGGACTTTTAACAACAGTTGAATTAATTACAAAAATAATGAAATAAGACGTAGCAGGGAGAGTCGTAAGCCAATTTTCATGAAATTTCCAGCATAGACACCCCACCTCATCCGAAAAAGTGACTCGGAACAAAAAATATAAAAGACATATTTGAACACATTGCCATATTAGTATAAACTAATATACTAAGTATCATTAACCAATGTTGCAAAATTAAACAGTTAATCAGCTTGATATATCCTCATTCACGTTCACATTTATATTAATTTTAGTTCCGTCTTCGAGAGAAGCCATAAATAATCACATTACAAAATCTGATATATATTTATATGTTTCTGACTATAAAAAAGTGTATCAACAACTAACAACTGTATGACGAACGGGATGACTTAAGGTTTTCCATTGTCAATTTCCCCTATTTATGTGGAAATACACTGACATCACCTGTCTATGGTGTTTTTGTCGCCTAACTGATTTGTTATGTAAATGCATGTTCTAAGTACGATGATTTTTAAACCGAGGCAGCTTACTATCAGCAAAAGTTTATCACTCACTTACCTGATCAATACATAGGGCCAACGGCGGGTGCGACCAGTCGACAGTTATGATTACTCCTCCTAGGCACCTGATCCAACCTCTGGTGTATCCACGGGTCCGTGCTTTTGTCTTTTTCACGATTTGTATTTTTTTTTTACTAAATTTATGAATTTAATCACTGTTTGTTATCTTCCCCTTTTATACCGATGTTACAGGCATTCAACAATCTCACTTTGCAAATTCCCCGGTCGTTGTAAAGACCTAGTTTGCAAATGCAACTTGGGTAATACCAATTGTTAAGCCACAGTCCTTTAGCAATTTTGAGTATGGATTTATCCGTTTTCCTGATTAATGCTGAGGGCTCATGGGGGGGGGGGGGGTTGTTTCGGGTCGACAGACGTTGCAAACTCCTTCTCGGCACTGATCCCGCCTCTGATGTTCCAGGGGTTCGTGTTTTTACCCTATTCGAGATTTGTACTGTTAACAGGATTACAAGGTTAACGTTGTTCTTCATATACGAAATATTTTCTCAAGAAACCACAGAATTTTTTTTTTTTTTTTTTTTTTTTTTTTTTTTTTTTTTTTTTATAATTTTTTAAAATTTATTTTATTGTTAACACAGATGATTTGCTTATAGTTTTGTGCTGTATTGTCCTGTTTATGAACAAACAATATCTACATTTTTTTTTGTAATTTTCAGACAGCAGCTGATTTCCCTGGAAAATGAATGTGCAATGTCAAAAAGAAATTACAAGGCAACTAGACAATACATCTCGGCAAGCGTTAGAATAGAACATTGTCTTTCTTTCCAAATTTCAACCAAACTTTCAAGATTAAATTTTGAAATAAATGTAAGGATAAAAAAGATAAAAATGTACCATAATGAAGTGTTTTGTTTAATTTTCCAAAACAATATATATATATATATATATATATATATATATATATATATATATATATATATATATATATATATATATATATATATATATATATATATATATATAATAAATGTATTACTTTCTCTATGTTGTTTTAGTGATACAAATGTAATTCATTTCATTAAATATATGATGCAAAAGAAATTGAAGATATCTCATTAAGGACCCTCTGAGACTAATATATATATATATACACACAAATAACAGATTAAATATCCTGGAATCAGATAGTAAAATTGGCACCATACTTACTTCTTCATGTATGAATTCATTTTAGTGAGTTATTTTATTACGTCATTTCTACTATTCGTTTCTGGCATGTGACAAAAAATTCTCTTCCACGTGCCTTAAGTAAGTAGAATTCCAATATCATACAAAAAATTCATGACAATTATTAACAATATATTCTTATCTAGAATAGTGTATCAAAAGGAATAATTTGGCACTATGTTATAGTATAATTAAGATAAAATTTCTTAAATAATTCTTCATCCTTCTTCTTTGGTCTCTCCGACCTAAAAGCAAACAAAATTGATTTCTCTTGAAAACACTTTTAGCTTTGTAAAAAATAAAAGTGAAATTAAACTAAGCTTTTGATAGTTCATTGTTGTGAGTTTAAAAATGTTGTAATGTAACATTCTAAAATTGACTCCCCGAAATGTTACAACGTTTTAACTGTTAGAATATCAAAAATATACGAGTATATTTTAGCATTCATGAATATTTAGTAACAAAAGGTGTTTTGTGACCAATCATGGCTCTTTTGTTGAGAATTCAAAAGATGAACATCTTTTCGGTCACAAAAAATCATATTTAACATTCATATTCAACTTGTTAATTTACGTAAATTATTTGTAAGTCTTCCCCCTCTTCAAACAAAAAGCTTTTTTGCATTTTCCCCTTTCTGTTTTGGTTCTGTTTTTAATTTTGCAGTTATATAAAAAGAAAACCAGAGTCTGCCTAACACTTATATATCTACAAAGTGATTTGCTTTTATCGACATGTATGAAGATTTACAGACTAAATCAAGATAAAAGAAAAAAATTGATCTTTCTTTTGTTATACATTATTCACTTAAAACATATTAAATTTCATTCACTTATGTGGAGTGTTTAAGTGTATAATTTCTGATGCAATCTTAACATGGCGCACCTTTTAAAAAGAGTAGTGTTTGTTTTTTACAACATCTGTCGTGGAAAATATTGACGTTTAATGCCAATCTTTTTGTGTTCCTTAGCCATAATACACAAATAATAATTGAACGCACCTCGTTGACAGCTAAGATTTATACATATATTGTGAGAAAACTCGGTTATAATCTATATTTTTCATATATAAAAATATGGATTAACCTTACTTCGATATGCCATTAACACATATGGGAATAGAGTAGATCCTTATATACTGCTGGAATATGGGTAGTAATTTTTAAGTATTTCAAGTAAATTAAATACAGTGAAACACGCTTATAACATAGTGCAAGGGATGGGCAATTTTGCTTCGTTATAAGCGTAATTTGTTATATCCGTTTACTGTAAACCAACTATTATTTGCGCCATCTTTGATTTACGATTCTTCAGTTTGAAATTAATCCGCGACGATTAATTTCCGCGACTGAGGAAACATTCTCTTCAAATACAAAGCAAAATAAATGGTTTGCGGCGATTCATTTTCGCGAGTTAAAGTTGGTCGCGAAACTCGCGGATATATCTCGCACGCGAATAAAAGTTTGTTTACAGTAGTTAACAATATATTTTAAAGTCCCGGAGAAATGAAAATCACTCCGCTGTAAGCATCAATTTAGTATAAGCATGTTCGTTATAGCGTGTTTCCTGTAATATAAAGCCGATTTCCTACTTACTACTCTATTCCTCCTGTACTTCTTCCACAATACTATGGCCACCACCGCCCCAGACACTGCCAAAAATAGCAAACTACCACCAACAGCAGCCGGTATCACAGAGGAAGCTTAATATAATGTTATAATCATCATTAACACCTAGCAGTGACTTAAATACACTTCTGTTTAGTATAGAGGAATACACATAGTAAAAATTCCATGAAAAAGGATTATGACTTAATAGAACTTGATCACATTGAAACATATCATAAGTTATTTACTCATTTAATTGTGACAGAAACATATATAACTTTTACAAGATAAAAAATAAAGAAACCTGAGGATAATTTTGATGTTTGGGCTTGGTTCGATTTCTGTTGGTTTGCTGAATTTGGATCGCTGGACTGTAGGTTGTTAGAGGTTGAAGTAGTAACTGAAGGAGCTGTGGACATTGCGCCTAAACACATATAAAGAAATATCAAGTTATGATACGGGATGTAAATTGATTCCCATCTCAAATCTATTTGAAATTTCCATTCCTTACAAACAGTAATTAATGTTTTAGATCACAAAAGTCATTAAACTTAAATAAAGAAGCATGTATACTTTTATCGAACAAAAATTAATGTATGTCCTTTTTGTTATTCAAATGAAAATTAAAACGCACTCCTTACATGTGGATGATTTCCAAATTTGAATCAGAAGCTTGGCAGATTTAGAAGTCTGAGGATACATTGAATTTCCCCAGTCATCGTTGATGTAGATGAGATATCTAGAGCCAGACAGTACTGGGGTCCAGATCCGCAGGGTATCACTGGAAGCTGAGTAGATGACGCCGCCATAGGGAGACATACTGTCGTCATTCTGCACTGCTCCAGAGGCCGGAAATAGAAAACCCTTATTATACCCATTATCAGCAAGGACCTGAAAAAACTTCACTTTTAAATTGTTTTCTCTCTCATATATTGTTAACTATTGATTAATTTAAAGATGTTTTTAAATCATGACCAAAAAGCTTCACGAAAACTCACTCTGACTATCATTAAATCCTCGTTTTGGTTGTATATTGTGTTCAGAGATAATTCCTGGTTGCTGTTCTGATTAAGCTGAGTTGTGACGTAGTGCATATTTGTAACCTTCCAGGATTTTATTCTTACTAGACCACGTGACCATAACTCTGTTGCAGAACCCCAACCATCATTAGCAGAAAAGAGTTGACCTAGTAAAGCAATATAAGATATTGGTAATTTTCCTTATTAGCTTTATGTGTACAAATTATGTGTAAAATTAATTAGGAGGTTGAAAATCATCTGCTGAAATTACATGCATAAACTTATGTATATTCGTTATTAGCTCGGTAGATCACAGTTAAATTCATTGGCTGTATAAGACATTTCTTCAATACATTACTTTTTAATATTCATGCTACAATAAAGTTTCTAAAGATGTGCATTTTGTGTTCTGTTTTGAAGCAGAAATATCTTTAATTTTATCAGGAAAAAGTTAATCCGGCATTAATGAGTGTTGTGGGAAAATTGATCCGTACACATGGTTCAGGACTTTATGCACATTCATGTGCTACTTATTGTAAAAAGTTGCAAAATAAATTCAAATAGTTATTTTAATGTAAAGAAAACATATTTGTTATGCGAGAGGAGTAATACGACCTTTCCATAGATTAAAACTATATATTAATGTACACAACTTTTAGGAACATAAAATGTAACATGCATGAACGTTTTAAATCCATGAAGTGCCATTTTTCAAGAATGTTCTGAAGAGCAAAATGCAAACTCCTGATACGGCCTTCAACTCAAATTTAGATACATCGATGTTGTTTTATCAATTAAAATAGTTACTTTCATTTATAATTCGACTCGATATATCCCATTGAGCTCGAAATAAAGGACACTACAGTGTCGCCCACATCTGTTTCATATTTTGATGTTTTACTGACTAATTAAAGACGATAATGGCCAGCTAATAACTTTATAACAAACGGAATGACTTCAGCCTTTTCATTGTCAACGTTCGTTATTTATGTAGTAATATTCCAATATCACCTGCATATGGTGTTTATGTTTCCCAACTGATTTGATACGAAAAACATGCTCTTATTACAATGAATTTTTAAACCAAGGCAAGCTGCTGACAAATACACTGACAAGGATTTCCACAATCCCGTTTATAATCCACTTTTCGCCAGTAATGACCTTGTCTGTAAATACAACCTATCATTGGGTCGTACTTTGTCTGACATGTTTTATGTCATGTTAGGTCAGACATATTTCATGTCATATTAGGTTATTGCTGTTATAATAAAGATGACTACGAAGTATTCCGTCTACCTGCTCAATACATACATGTAGGGCTCATGGCGAGTGTGACCATCGACAGGGGATGCTTACTCCTCCTAGGTACCTAATCCTAACTCCGGTGTTTCCAGGGGTCCGTGTTTTGCCATGTTTTGATTTGTTTTGTTCACTGGGTTTATGAGATTGATCACTGTTTTGTTATCTTCGACTTTTACGTTTCAAACAAAGTTTATTTGAAAAAGATGAAAATAACGATCAGGTGGATGGAATATTCCAGAGTCAAACTAACTATAAAACAAAGGCCTAGCAATTGATATGTGTGTCTATCAAAATACGATCCAATAATAGATTATATCACAAATTATTACTCATTATGTACTATTTTTTGTATCTTTTAATTGTCTTTTAATCAATAAAATAAGATTTTCTGAGAAGTTTTATGAAGCAATTAAGTGTCTGCAATTTATCTTATCAGAGAGATATATGTTCAAAGCAATTGATTTGTAGAAGATTGTTTTAATTCTTAGAACTACATATGCATTCATTGCTGATAATGAGAAAAGAACTTAAACAATGATATAACAGGAAACAGGAGGAAAGAAATTCCCCCCTAAGACAGAAGAAGGTAGATTAGATGGGTTTTTTTTGGGGGGGGGGAATATATTTTCAATACTTTAATTGAGGGTAAGTATTAACTTTTGAGTATACACCTGTAGATGTGCTTAGAGTTTAAATTCTAAAACAGCAAAATAAAGTTTCAGCAGTATATCCTTTTAATGTGAAAAGTATAAAAAAAAATCCTTTTCCTTTACCCAAGTGCAACTTTATAATTTTTCTTTTTAATGTTCTAGAAAGAAAATATTTGATCAAAATCGTCCTGTATATTGTAAGACTATATTCAATACATCTTTCAGAATAAATGTAAAAAAGATGCTAAAGTCAACTTGAACACAAGTTTACCATTTTTACGATATGGTGCCCATACCCTCACGTGACTTCTATTATAACCGTATATCACTCCTCCCCAAGATGTACTGGTGTCTGGTTTTAGAGCAGACATAGATCCTAAAAAACAGGAAAAACGCTTCAATGTAAACGATATTATTGTCAACAGCTGTGTAACACGAAAATTAAAACGTATGACACAAATACCTATCCCGTCCGACAGCCATTCAGTGCCCTCTTGGCGGATCTGCACAGTAATTAAATCAGGAAAATTTCCTTGGTTATGAGGAATTTCCAAGAATGAACCCTTTCCTAAAATAACAATTTTCATGATATTATTCACAAAAGGTAATAAAGTTTTAATCATAAGAGGGAAACACGTGAAGAAATTATAAACGCATGAATATTATATGCAACAAAGTGGAGAAAAATTTATTTGTTTACGACCTAGTAGATAACATGACAATTTTACCAGAATTATTGAATGGGATCCATTGTGATTCGTATGAGGTATCCGGTAGATCACCAGGGCACCAGACTAAAGTTCGTACCTGTGCTCGACTTTCATTTTGGGCAACAGGGCCTCGCCAAGTAGACGCACCTGTAGATTAAATTACTGTATACTGAAGTTTATTATTTGTTCATCCCTACTTTTAAAGACTTTGTGAAAGGTACAAATCATTGGATAAAAATGATATCCAATCACAATACATGGGAGATCCTACATGCCAACATGGAACAATTGAATGGTCATCTATCAATTTTTTTCTTAATAAGTGAGAGACAAATATCCAAAAAAATATCGTTTCACAGCAACGAAATGTTCTCTAACATACTAGTATTTTTTCTGAGTAAGTTAATTACATCTAAGTGTTGGACAAAATTTGCATGCCATTGAGTAATTAGCAAGGAGTAAAAAGATGCAAGGACAGGGAATAAGGAATCTAGATAAAGTTTTATAACTTCGATATTTTTGCCAAGAGTGTATAAATAATTTGCTTTAATAATGGTTTTGAAAATACATGTATTATAAAAACTTTCATCCAATTTGGCAATAGCCTTATTGAGAACTTCAACCAAAAAAAAAAAAAATTGATGTTCATCTGTGCTAATAACTCAAAGAGGAAAAAAGCGAATAGGAAACCTTATAAAGTAAATACCTATTATTAATAAATCAATATCAAAGCATAAATACAATAGAAATTAACATTACTGATAAAAGATTTCTATTGTGAAGGTACATTTAACTTTTCACAATTGAAGGAATTGCATTCTTAAAGTTATTGAGCAAAATATACTTGTTATTCCTTACCCGATATAACAGTGCTATATTTGGTCGTCAGAATAGTGCTATACAAGCAATTCCGGGCCATTAACAGTTTTTACGAGGGTCGTTCAAAAATTATTTGAACTCTATTATGTACTATTACAAATGTCAAATAGCTATGATATTCTACAGAAACACTTTTTTAAAAAAGATTCTAGTAAAATTTTCGAATTTTTAAAAAAAAATATTGATTATTTTAATCTAAAAATATTGTTTTTTTTTTTTTTTATTACCGATGAGGATGTACGGAGCACTGCAAAAAATTTGAAAAACGAGCTTACAGAAGCCAAATATTTTGTCTGTACAACAAGTCCATGTAATTTTTTAACTGCCCTCATAAAATTTGATTTAGAAACGTTTACCTGTATATATTATTGTTCCTGAGGAATATCCGTCATTAACACCGGGTATAATCAAAACAACTTCGTCTTTGTTGTATTTATATACAATTCCGCCGTATGTTTCATTTCTATCATCATCTCTTTGTGAAGATCCGATTCCGGGAAAATAAAAATTTGTCCAGTTTCCGGTTTTAGGTCGGATCTGGATCTCTACTTTGGCGGGAAAATCTCCACATTCGTGTTCCAATGTAATAGGTTTCCTTGTTCTTTGTGCTTCCACGTCCGTCCATTGGCTGAGGAAGTGAGGACTATTAAAGCATCGATTGGCTGACCGAAATTCTAAAAAATCAAACATTGCAATTAGTATCAAAATAAAAGATAGTACTGATGGTGCACTTTAGTTTTAAGGTTAAATCAGTAAAAATATAAATTAAATTTACTGATTAAATTTTTTTGTCTCAACTTTAGATTTGCAAATAAAATATACTGATTAAAATTTTTGCCACAATTTTAGATTTGCAAATCATGTTACTCTTGACTTTTCCTACTACAGCATTGAAGAAATCGATAAAATACACAGACTTACCCAATAGGCAATAGATGATAAATACTATAACAAGGAAGCTGTTGAAATCGTTCTTCATTTCTTTTTTTAATAAATGAAATAAAAGAAATCGTTCTGGAAGAATTATATATCAACACCCATCTTAGGTTTAAAGGTTACAAACTTCTACTACCCGGACACATACAAGGAGCAAACACTTGAAAAGAGTGATAATCTGAAAGACCAATCACATAAATAAGCATTGTAATCTTAAATCTGGGTGACTTTATAGAAGACCAGGGATTATCTCTGTCATAAGCAAAATGATAAATCTCACACGATCTCCGTGTCCAGAGATATTAAATAGTCAGACATTATTACATCTTATCAACACAGGAGGAAAAAAGATGAAAATATTGAGATAGAAAAGGGAACTAGCCCTTGAGTAATATTACCTTATTTTTAAAAGTGTAAACAGAAAGACGTGCAGAATCTATACTGAGTCGAGGCTTTTTAAAATACAATGACTCTGTTTTGTCTATTGCAGTCCCGGACATGCATTATAGGAGATTTTATACCATTTTCTTTCCGTTCTTTTAAAATAATAAATGGATTGAGTAGACAATATCAAGTGAGCGTTAGGAGGCTACAACATTATTAGGATATCATTTCCTTGATAACCATTTCAGTGCTTTGTTGAGCAAAAATGGGTAGTGGGTGAGAGAAGAGTTTTATTTAACTATGAAGGTGGAGGGTTTCCTTAATTCTGGTTCTTTTAATATGATTTAAGTTCCCAGTTATTTACTGCATTCACACTCCATAGGCGTGCCTATCGGAACTAAAGTGAAAAAGAGAAGAACATGAACACATAGTAAAATTTTGTTTCAGATGGTCGATATCTAGGCACTCTAGAGGTTGTCTTTTTTGGTAATAAAAGAATGAAATGTTTGGAAGCAATAATTCAAAGAATATTTATAAGAAATAAAGGGTTTGTACTTCAACTTTAATTATGGTGGAACGCAAGACTGGATCTTTTTGTGATTAAGAATATTGCTTATGTTTACAGCCTCAATTCCTTTGTTGGAAGATTTGTTGAAGAAATAGGCGGGTAACTTGAGAATTTATCTTTTCTGTAACACGTGGTGGTTTAAAAAGCCCGTGGTTTTTAACATCCATACACAGAGTCAATGAAATAATGAAAATTATGCCTAAACATGTATTTTTAAATATATATATTCATAAATATTTGAAGTGAAACTTTGTGCGTCTTTCAGATAAGACCTTAAAAACCGAGGTCCCGTGTCACGGCAGGCGTTGGCACAATAAAGATCACTCATTGCTCAATGGCCCTGAGTACCGCATAAAGCCCTTCACAGGTATATGGTGACGTCTCTATATGAGTGCAAAATTCGAAGGGAACGTAAAACAACTTGAATCATTCATCTTTTCTAAATTTTCATTCGGTGTAATTTCAATATCCTTAACAATCTTTAAACATTAACGTGATGCTATTCCTTTGTTCTTATAGTCTGAACTTTACCTGCAAAAGTATGGTATGACAGATTACTGTGAATTGGTTGAATATTAGTGTCCAACAATACCCTTGCCCTTCTAGATTAAAAAAAAAAAGTTTACAAACATCACAAGCATTAAGCCTGGATGCTGCTCCGATACCTAAAAGAAAAGTCAATGGAGCAAGTAGAAACCAAATGTTTTCTCTTGCAAATGTAAGACGAAATTTTCATGGAGAAAAATTAGGTAAATCAATATTATGATTGTGAGGACAGTTTGACTATGTAGAAATTGTGTATTTAGTTTATTTTGGAAAGAAAATAATCATTGAACAAGAATTACAAAAGAACTAATGCAGCTATATTTTCTTATTTTCCCTTATTTATGTAGCAATATACCATTATCACCTGCATATGGAGTTCTTATCTCCCAGTTGATTTGATACGCAAGAACAATATCTATTCTCTAAAAATCAGGCAAGCTACTGATTAATAAGTTGAAGAAACAAGAATATCAACAGTTTCGTTTAAAGCCAACATTTCGCAAATACAATGTTCGACACAATGGCCTTGTCAGCAAAAACAATCTATCATTTAATCGAAGAGAGATGCATTTAATGTTCACTAAAAACCGTTTTAATCAGTTACATATTTTGAATAATCTAGAGATAAATTTGGTTGAATTGTTCAATGTTAGATGATCATGATCAGTATAAATCTGTTCCAAGCAGAAAACAACAGTCATGTTTTACATCTCAAGCGTCTCCATCGTTATGCGGAAAAACCTGTAATGCAAAGTCGAGAAATTAAAAAAAAAAAAAACTGAAAGAAAAATGATTAAAAATTGTATCAAAGTGACGCAATGCTGTATTTTAAGTAAGTTATAAGAGCTCTATTGACAATTTCATTGATATGAACTTGCATGCGATTTTCCTATTAAAATGTTTGATTGTATTTTTTACCTCATTTGATGAATTCTCTTTGCATATACAGTAAATAATTATTGCCAGGAGGAAAATAAGTAATAAAAGTCCCCCTCCACCGACTACAAGCCAAAGAACGGGAACCGTCACAGACCGGTCGTACCACAATTCTGCAACAGTAAGACAATACTTACAATATTTATATGGCTCATTTAGATACCAGCATTGCTAACCTAAAGTCGCCTGTAAATTTTTAAAAATAATTTTTGCCTTCTTATATTATCGCAGATGGAAAAAAAAACTGTAGCACTATTTTTTTCAATCATTGATTAGCTGTCAAAGCTGTAGTTAAGCAATAACCAATCACCATAATTTTTATATGCACAAGTTATATAATGCAATAGAATGTTAATATTATTCCTCAGGTAGAAATATTACTGTCTACTGTTTATTGAAATTATGCTTTCCGAAATAAATAAGCGTTTTTTGATATTTTGGTTCACACATAGTAAATGTGATTCCCTTTTTTATTTCATAGTTCATTTACTTGCCTTTCTTATTTAAATCTCTAGCTGAGGCATTCCCCAAACTCATAGATGGATGTGACGGCTTCAGTGTTGTGACGGGAAATGTAGTCGTTTTTGGAGTTGTCCGATGGCTCGGAGGAATTAGACCTAAATTATTTGGTATTAATTTTTCTTACATCTTAATGTTAGTAACATTAATACATTATTTTCTTTTCTCTAAATTGTTCTCAAACATATTTTTATCTCTCAAACAAGATGTTACCTATAAGTAGCATGATATCCAAACCTTACTGAAAATACTTGTTTGTATACTTTTCTAAAGTACGTTTTACTGCTTATATTTCCTGTATTAATACTCTTACATATTTGTCCAGCTTTCCACACGGATATCCTGGCAGTAACAGATTCAGCTGATTGTGTATGGTGTCCTCCGCCCCAATCATTGCTGACGTAGACCAGGAAGTGACGTCCGTCTAATTTTGGGTGCCACAGTCTGATTTTGTCTGAGGAGTAGGAATACATAACTCCTCCGTATTGTGTATTTGTGTCAGCATTTTGAACTGACCCCACTCCGGGAAAAGCAAACCCTCTATTTTCACCATTCGTGGGTGAAATCTACAGATAGTTGGGAGAATCATTAAAGCTTTAACTGATATTTCATAAAACTAACACATTAAATTTCAATAATTACACGAAATGTTCAGATTATGCCCTCGTGCCCTTATATAAGTTAATTGATATTTCTATACAAAGGGGAAATTGGTTGAATTGAAGATGATGATATAATTGATTTTCTTTGGATAATTTTTCTCATTATATATTGCTTATTAATAATTTATGAGATTTGATATTTAGATATCTTCAAGGAGTATGACCCTAATGTCTTATTTTAATTTCAGAAATACTGTCTTTGGGAGTGAGAAGTTTGAACACGTGGTGTTTGTATGAACACTGAAGGCGTTAATTTAAGCAATAACATGTTTAGTTGTTTGTTAATGCGGGAAGTAATGGTTGCAACTATTGCAGAAAAATGCATAAACCGCGTAAGCGTGTTATGTAATTGTTTTCTGCAATGGTTGTAACCCTTGAATCCACACTTTTCAAAAGTTATGTCCGGGGGGGGGGGGGGAATCGCAGAATTCTTACATTGACTTTTGTAACTTTCAGGCTTGTAATTTTGGCTTAAAAAATCGTTACAACTTGTATTTTGATTGCCCCAGGATGAAGCTCCCCGTACACTGAAAGAAAAATTTTTAAACTCAGTGAATATTTCTCGCAGCATGCCTAAATGTTGCAGTGAAACGAAGAGAAACATTGGGATCTTTTTCCTATTAACCTTCTGGTTGATCCCACAATGGGAAAAAACTTCTGCAAAGGGTGGATTGGACTATTGTGGATTTGACATGGAGAAACTAATAGGATTATGTTATATACAGCTGGATATACCATTTACTTTTCTATTTTGAATTAATATATATGCAGAAAACACAGGAATGAGTTAAAAATAAACTGAACAATGGACCTATCAGTCAGGACAGAAAGGTCAAATTAGATTGGTATCATGAAGATGTTGGTAGATATAGATAAATATGAATATATGAATTTAAATTAAATTTTTTTACTCAGAAATTTTTACTCATCTTTTAAACAAAAATAAGTTTGTTCATAAAATCGAAACTTGTTGAAATAAGAGTACTTTTAAGTGGAATATTAAAATTTTGCAAATAATTGTACCTTAGATATGACTAAGTTTTAGAAATACCAACTTGTATATTTTTCTTCAGTATAAACGAAGGTCCCAACATTCACATATTTAAATAAGTTTTTAAACCAAAGTGTTTCTATGCAAGATTCGAGCATTTTAATATTTCATATTTTGTAGATGGCAAAATGCCAACTTTCGTGAGTTACACTATATCACCCATTTTGTATCATTAAAAAACTTTATTGAAAAAAAAATTATTGCAATTGATAGAATGATGTGTCTACTTTTCAGATATACCTGGTTTACCTATACTTAAGGAATAAGTGTCTAATTTTTTGGATTCATGATGTGATCAATCGAGTGGCTTGCGTGATGATTTGCATAAACGCCAAACGCATTTATGCATAAAATTATCACGCAAGCCAATCGATTGATCATCGTCATGAATCCAAAAAATCTGACAGTTATTCCTTATATTTACATGCTCCTGATTCTGCAAATTCCCGTGCTAATAGCCCCGCTTCTGTCTCTATTTGTCCCGCCTTGCAGGTGATTTTTTTTTTAACCGCGCAGGCCCCTATCGATGAACCAATAGATTTATGTAGAAATAAAGTATTTTTACAATTTGTAATTTTATCTCGGACAAAGACATTGGAAATGTAAATACAAGATTTTAAATGAAAGGTAAAACTTATTGTTGAAAAGGGTGATATTTTTTCCACAAATATAACTGGATAATGGCTAGAAAGGACAAATTATAGGACGTTTGGTTGCCATAATGAATTGATCGGAAAAATATATTGTGATTTATTATACTTGCGGATAGTGTAACATGTCAACAAAGTCTCATGAAAATTAGAGAACACTGCATCCGGACGACTTTGCATGGTTTTACCATAGACATGCTTTTAGGAAATTCAAATAAGACATATAGTTCCTTATTGAAAAAGTGACTAGTTTTCTAAGGAAAGTCCGATTTACCTTTGTAGAGTATATTCAATTGATTATCACAAACAAATTGATTACCAAACAAATTTTCTTTTCTCCAGAAAGAACACAGAAGAGTTATATAGCTATTTTTCAATGGAAATCTAATTAGAAAACTTAAGTTACGTAAAACGTAAAAAAAAATATACTTTTAAAAATGTTCTTAGAATCATTACAGTAAAAACAAACTACATAGTATTTCTAAAAAATTTAATTTTTTTTTATATTGAACTGAAAAGTTACGTTTTTCACTTTTCATCAAACTATGTGGCTTGGCCAAATATAAGTTGTTTAACTAAACATATATCACTTCTTTAGTGAGATGGGCACATATTTAAGCAAAGATATTTGAATTTCGGAGGGACAAAAATTGTTTATGCTATTTATCCTTAAAAGAAATGTTATTAAGCACAGTTTCTAGTGCTTGCAAATTTTTCTTTCATGCTAAAAACATTAAAAAAAATTTGATGGTGATAAAACTGAAATAGAATAAAGTACTCACTGTAAAGTATAAAATATCATGGTCAATGTTTAATGGAACAGGCAAGGGAACTTGTAGATTAGGAATCGATGTTCTGCGATCTATTGTTACGCTTTTACTCTTTGTGTTCATCAGGTAGCTCCATACGTAAACTTTCAACTGACCGGAAATAACGGTGTCCACATCTCTCGGCAGTCCCCATCCGTCAGCTAGGTTAAACAAGTTGCCTACAGTTAGAAAAAAGGATACATGTAATGCAAAAGGTATATAAATTAACAAGTAAAATATATGCAGAATGTGCATGCAATAGATCATCATAAATTAAGACAAGTGTCTTTTCATCTAACAATTGTATTGACCATTAAACAAAATCGACTAAAAAGTTTCTTCCTTGAGTGTTAGGAAAATAATACCATTCTCTGGAGCCCAAATCCTGACAGTTCTGGAGTTGTATGCGTAAATTAAACCACTCTTTTCTTTTCCAGTTCTTGAAGTAGACATTGACCCTTTAGGAATATCATCAGAATTAGTGAAAGGAAAATCATTTCGAAAAAAGAGATAAAATTGTATAATTGTTATGCACTTCTCTTCACCGATTAAACAGATAAAGATTTCAGCTGATTCCATCTAGCAAAATAGACTACTTTGTTTATGTTGCTAAAAATGTTTGACATTACTATACTCTTGGTAAAAAAAATTACAGGAGTATTTGAATGTTTTGTGGTCTTTCAATGAATATACTTCAATCAAAACCTTAAACATGCATTAACAAATCTCTTAACAACTTTTACCCATGACGTCAGATACCCAGTCCCGGTCTGTTGAACCGTGACGGAGCTGTACAATAACCATATCTGGCATGATTCCTAGTCCATGATTGATCTCCAAGAAATTATTGTTTCTCGCTAAAGGAATGAGTAGCATTTTTATTATTAAATTATCCATTTATTTAACCATAATGTTCATGTATTTAGTGTAAGATGGAGTGTACATGTATTTTATACGCTATTCACCTTGGTTGACAAAAACAACACCTACCATCTATATTTGTCCAACTGGATTCAAAGGCAGGTGTGGGAAAGTTACATCTACACCAGACACGATATCTGACATCTGCGGCTGTCTCGTTTACCTGGATAACGCCATCCCATGACGATCCACCTTAAATGGACGAATATAAACTACATGTGTCTAAAATTACTTTCTAATTTAATATAACTGGCGATTTTCATTGATGTGTAAAAATTATCTCTATGTGAAATATTTTACTTTATCATAATCCCTGATGATATTTGTTGAAGAGATCTCATTTTTTAATTCTGCATGGCGAAGAGAGAGGGATGAGACTAAATTAATATTAAACTGAACTTGAAATAAAAGACACCACAGAGTCTGCCACATCTGTTTCATATTTGGATGTTTTTATTTTTATTATGGACAATAAGCACCAACTGTAACAACTAAACTGTATGACAAACAAGATGACTTTAGCTTTTAAACTATCAACGTTCCTTATTTATGTAGTAATATTCCGCTATGGCCTAGAAATGGTGTTTATACTCCAAATTTATTTACTAATCAGAAGCGTGCTCTAAATACAATCAATTACTACTGACAGATAAGTCGGTGTAACAGGGAATTCAACAACCTTGTTTAAAGCCAGTGTTGTATCTATTACTATGGATTATTGAGGATGCCCTGCAGACATAACCGACAACCATGTGCTGTTGACTCGTTTATTATAATAGTACACTTCTGGTACATAAACTAATAATAGAATGATGATAAGATATAATAATTCCGGCTACTACATTCCTCCCCTCTTTAGATAATTGTTACAATGTTAAAATTCTAAACAACTTCTAAAATTATCCTTAATTTTAAACAATTAATATTTTAGGTATCACTACCTAAATTATCCAGTTTATAGATTAAACACCGAACTTAATGATAGTCATTACATCTTTTGCGATCATTACAAGAATACAAAAAAAAAAAAAGAAAAACAATAAGGACTTCTTAGTCCGGTGACCTGCTGGGGACTATTGTGCCCCTTTTCACAGCATGATCACAACTTAAAAGAACATCAGGTTAACACAAAATCTTTAAGGTTTACATGAAGCTGCTTCATTCTCTGGCTTCGCCTCAGTGGTTGAGCAACAGGTTTCTGTGACGTATTCTCAACTAACGGACTTGACTTGCACTGTTTCATAGCACAATTTATTGGATCAGCTGTTGGAATGTGTGTCTCCAACTCAATTTCTTCACAATTAATCTCGTGCCTCCTTGATCTGTTCCCCAACTCTGCGTTGACTGTTGAATTAACTTTCTTGAACTGTGACATGTTGCGTGTCACCTCTCCGTTGACTGTGATCATGGATCCTTTCTTGTCTGTTACAATTCTGGGCTCGAGTGAGAAGTATTGCTGCATTTTATCACCACGTTTTTCCTTTGTCATCACAACTGTATCTCCTACACCAATGTCACGTGACTTTGCTTGGTTTCTCCTATCCGCATAATGCTTCATGTTGAATTTCTTCTGGCTATCTCTCTCTCTAACTTGAATGTCTGTCAAAGTTGAGTCTCTGTTAGTGATAACTGGTAGCCTTGTCTTCGGATCCCGATTGAACAGTAGATCAAATGGTGCACGACCGGCGGATGAGTGTGGTGTTGCACGGTATTGTCTGAGAAAGCGATACAACTCTTGCCGCCAGTTAAGTCCATCAATATGTGCAGAGCGCACAACTTTCATTAACGGCTTATTAAAACTTTCGGCTTGAGCATTGGCTCTGGGCCATCTCGGTGTTATCCTTCGATGGATGAACCCCATGTGTTCTGCATATCTTCTGAATTCATATGATTGGAATGGACTTCCATTGTCACTTTTTATTATCTTAGGTATCCCATATGCACTTATAACTTTATCCAGTACAGGTATGGTGGATTTGGCTGAGACGGATTTTACAATCTCTACTACTGGGTAGCGTGAATATTCGTCTATTATCACAAATAAATAGTCTCCACTAGGTAACGGTCCGCAAAAATCAATGCTCAAATTCTCCCAAGGTCCACCAGGTAGTTCGGACATTTTCAATGGCCCCATGGCATGACGTTCAAGAGTAAGGAGTTGACAGGCTGTGCAGTTTGTAACACGCTTTTCCACTCTCGCATCCGTGCCAGGAAACCATACTTTCGACCTAAGAAAAGCTTTTGTTCTTGCCATTCCCTGATGACCTTCATGTGCGATGTCTATAGCCCTGTAAGATATTGCGTGTGTCACGAAGCAGAATGTTATCACTGTGAACAGTAAGTTCGTCTCTCACTGAGCAGGGTAGCCTAGTAGATATCCTCCTCTCCCCTTCACTACATAGAATGTACACACAGTATATTTCTGTGGAGCTTCTATTTTCACATCACATGTGCCGAGCACTTTGATTGTGTCCTTAACACCATGTGGAACTAATTTTCCTTGTACTTTTCCTGTGTGTAAGCTTGGTTTTCCAATCTTCTCATTATCTGTCTCATCTAGAATGTTCACAGAGGATCCACTGTCAGCCAACAGTTTAATTTTCTTGTCGTTCAAGTTCACTGTAACATAGGGGCCTCGTACTGTGTTGACTCTCTCTGCATGTCCTATGAGTTTAACTCCATAGCAGTAACCATCAGAGTCACTGTCACTACAGTCTGGATTATTGTGCTCTTTGTTCACTGCCCTCACTTTCTGAGATTTCTTACTGCGACACATTTTTCTGTAGTGTCCTACTTTATGACAGTCATGACACTTTTGTCCTTTTGCTGGACATGGGTGGTCCGTGTGTGGAAAGGGTCCACCACAATTCCAACACTGTCCTTTGTGTTTTGGTTTTGAGACATGGTGTTGTTTTTGAGTGTTTTTGAGTGACGTCGGTGTAGTCGTTTGCTAAACACTTTGTTTACGCTCGCTGTATCAAGCCTCTCCATTGCTGTGGCTTGCGAGTCTGAGATTTCCATTGCACGTCCAAGCTGGACAATTTGATCGAGGGTTTTGTCAGCTTCTCTAAGTGCCCTTCGTCTTAGCTGATTAGACCTACAGCTTTGGATGATTTGTGATAAAATTTCACTGTCTGTGTCAGCAAATTCACAGTTTTTCGCGAGTTTCCGAAGTTCTGTCAAAAACTCATCAAGTGACCTTCTTTTTGTTTACAGCAACGAAAGTTATAGAGATCCAACTGAGTATTCTTTCTAGGGCGAAAATAATCAGTAAGTACCTTTTTCGTACCGCTGTAATCCGGAGTTGATGTCCCTTTCTGCGCCTCGTATATGTCGTAGGTTCTTTCGCCCACATAGTGTAAAAGTAAAGCTCTCTTCCTATCGTCTATACTTTTAATTGCGTTTTGATCAGGTTCCTAACCTTCAGGCACTACGGGATTCACTAATTTCAGGGCGATAAACAAATTTTCCAGGCGACCAATCCATCTGTACCATCGGGGCCCTGCGTTGTTTTTGTCTGTTTCTGGGTCGAACTGTGGAAATATAGGCAACGTGATGTCCATCCTCGTCGCCACTTGTTGTATCTATTACTATGGATTACTGAGGATGCCCTGCAGACATAACCGACAACCATGTGCTGTTGATTCGTTTATTATAATAATACACTTCCGGTACATAAACTAATAATAAAATGACGATAAGATATAATAATTCCGGATACTACAGCCAGCATTTCATAATTTCTATGGTCGTTATAATGCTTTTGTTCGCAAATATATCCTATCACTAGGTCAATTTTAACGGACACATTTCATATAAATTGTTAGGCCTTTGTTTTTATACTAGATCTGACTACGGAGTATTCCGTCTACCTGATCAATACATAGGGCCGGTTGACAGGGAATGCTTTTTCCTCCTTGGCACCTGATCCCAGCTCTGGAGTTTCCAGAGTCCATGTCTAATGCCATTTTCACAGATGTGTATATATTGTTTGTTGACTTTTTAAAAAAATATATCGATTACTGTTCGTAATCTTCACCTTTTTTCACTTGTAAATTGACGTTGTCATGGATTATCCTCGATTTTATATAACGTTTACGTTATTGTGACGTCATTTATGCTTGAAAGAACGTTACGTTACTACAGCTTTTAACAAGACTTCTAAATAAACCACTATGCAATCAAAAGTGTTTTCTTCCATGTGTGATGTCAAAAGCAGTGGTATCGTCTGTTTTAGTTTACATACCTTCAATAGAATTTCGGGTTTTAAAGGTAAGCGCCATTTTAGGCTAATATTATTATTCAAAACATTCAGTGAATAAACCGCCGAAGAATTCAGCGTAATTAAAAAGTCCTTCTCGCTGAAAAGTCAGACCCTGGAATTGAACGACTACATATTGGAGACCTTATCTATAGAGACATTTAAACGGAAGTCGCAAATGCACATGAGTACATGAATGAATTAGATTGTAAAATTATACAGACTAAAAAATTCAAGGAGCTCTGCATATATCTGCAATAGAATCAAACCAAAATGAGTCGTGACCAAGAATAGAATTGCATCGCTTAAATCACTCACACTTCCGCAGTTAGAATTCATGGCAGCATTGATCGCTGCGAGATTGGAAAATCACTTGCAAAACTCATTTCCATAAAAGAATATAACCTACTGGTCACACAGCCAAATCCTGTTACAATGGCTGTCTAGCAAGAAACTGGTCGTGCTTCTTTGCTGCAAAGTTCGTGTAAAACAGAATATTCGAAGATATGTAGTACTTTCACATGGAAATACTATCCCAAACATGACAATCCTGCTGATCTACTGATTCGAGGACCAGGCGCAACTCCATGCATGAAAATTACGTTATGGAAATGCGAGCCATCATAGATTTACAACAATGAAGCATGCCCTGTTGTAACCCGCAACCGACCTCAGTATATTCCGTAGTAGACACACGTTGTCGAAAGACATTGCTACTAAACCTGAAAACATTTTGATCATCATCAACGTATCAAGATTAGGCAGTTAGAGAATACTACTACCGGTACATTTAATTGCCGACATTACATAATCGAAGAAAAATCGACAATTTAACATCCGAAGAGCTGTTGATAGCTCAAAAGAACTTAATAGAGGGATGTCAAGCAAACACCTTTTCTGAGGAGATTTTGAAAATCACCTTCAGTGGAGACAAACCATCTATTGTCAGACAACTTCATCTATTACTTGATAACGATGGATGCATAGGCTTTAGAGGTTGGATTTTGCCAAAATATACAACCATACGAATTGTTATTTATTTCCACAGAAGGATGTTACACACTTGATCATTAGGCACGCTCATAAGCGCAGTAGCCATATGATATATGCATTCTAGTACGACTGCAACAGTATCATTCATCCGACAGAAATTTTGAATACCAGCAATCAGGCAGGCTGTAAATTCTGTTACGACGAAATGCGTGGTTTGCAGAATACTAGTAGTAAATGAAAAACACTAATCATTACCAGAGAGACAATAGCTTTGCCCAATTCTGTACATAGGAATCAGCATCATTTGCTACATCCTCAAAACGTCAGGGGCCGTCAGTCAACTCGTTGCCGTTGGACCACTGACAAATTTTATTCGATATTCCATGGGCTTGTTTCTCTAATTGAGAAGGACCAATCAGAATGTTTCATAAGTTCAAAGGTAAACAGGTGACACCTCATTGCATGTGTCACAGGTTGTTATCATCGAAAGGTTTAATGTGATCAGTCGAGATATAAGAAAACCAATCAAGATTTTCCCCAGCTGCTTTAATCTAAAACCATAAAGAAAAATCTAAAAAAAATATATATATATATATATAGGAGTTACTGGAAATTCATTCCAAATGTAGCTTCATGGTTTGGAGGTTTTAGTGAGCGACTAAAATGATAGGCCATTTATATATTTTGAAGCTCTACAAACTGTAGTCAAGAAGGTTAAAGCGATAGTGACTGATCGACCTTTAACGTAGGTCTCACCCAATCTCAATGATCCAGACAACATCACATTTGCTGTACGGATACCATACCCGACAGAAGACACAAAGAATTCAAACGATTCTAGCTTTTTTGATTTGCCTGGATAACGAGAACACAACTTACCATCATTTTTGGAGCCGTTGGAAGAGAATAACATTATTTTACTTCACTGAGAGAGTATCATAGAGCAAATGGAAACTGAACGCAGAATATAAAAGTCGGTGATATTGTCCAGATCTACCTCTGATCACGTTGCAACTAGCTGTCGTGAAGGAACTCATACAGGAGAGAGACAGATTCCTCAGAGCCTCCACTTTACAAACGAAAAATGGACATACAATTTCAAAACTTTACCCAATGGTAGGGAACAATAACGATCTTCAAATACATTTTTCCGATCGAATGTCAAAGCCAAAAACCAAAGAAAATATCGTAAACCTTAGAGTTTAGTGATTGTGATCTTAATATAATTTGAACTGTTAATTTAATCTGATTTTTAAACATGTATTTTTCATTTAAGTGCCCTGAGTGCCATGGTCATGGATTATATTTTATATAAAGTTAACGTTATTTTAACGTCATAATGTTTGTATACTATTTACAAGAGTTTTAAATAAACCACTTTGCAATCAAGACGTGTTTTCTTCCTATGCGATACTAAGTACACTTGAGAACAGACATCATCTTCCATTTTTTCCCAAAACTTTTAGGATGTTATCCGCAATAGTCCTCAATTCATAAGCAAAGAAAAAAGCAGAAATCTTACCAAAATAGACAGTTTATTTCTAACGTTCAACAAATGAAATTTTCATACTATTAGATGTGATGAAAATAACTCTAAAATGCATTAAATTCGGAGAATTCAAGCTCTGAAAACATACCCGAGAACAGTGTAATACCCGATGATTTCCCGTTTTCTCTTTTAGGAACCATAATCCTGATGCTTGAATCAGCTTTATACTTATAAACTACCCCTCCATAGGGACTGTCAGAGTCATCCGTCCTTTGCGTAATACCGCTCCCCGGAAAAATAAAGTCTGAGCCAGTGTGAGCTTTGACTTGAACGTCTACTTTCAACGGGAGTTCGTTACAACTCTCCTCCATTTCGGCAATAAAGCTGACGTCATTGTCTTGGATTGTGCTCTGGGCTTTTACTGAAAACCACGTTCCAGAAACGGCTTTGGGATTAGTGGTACAATTACCCGCTTTACTGGTAACGCTGCAGTTTCCTCTAACAAATACTACAATGAATCAAATTCTATAATCAATAAAACCATTTTAAAAAGAAATTTTAAAAATTGTAAAAACTAGTAGGAATGTCAACGATTATAAGACTATCGTTCGGCCATACTGCCTATCAACTAAATAATTTTTACTCATTTACTCTTAAAAATGTACAACTTTACGGTAATTTTGAATTCGAGGTAATAAGACTAGATTCACCTTATTTATTTCAAATGCATCAGTGTTTTCGTGAGTAAAGTCGCGTTATGGAAAGGCTTAAAACCGTTCCTACATTGTAGTTCATTGTTCTCGGCAAGGAAATAATTTGCGCGATTATTTTTGAATGTTAAACATGCTTCAAAATGAAAAATACATGAAACTGAACTGGTGTTTTGTGTCTTTAATAACATCAAATTTATATATCATTTTAAAGGACCAAAGGTCAACATCCGTCAAATTCGTCGAAATCTTAAATTGGAACTTTTCTCGCACCTTCCCTCCAAAAAAAGCTCTAAGGTACAGAGCTAAAAAAATTATGCTACCACAAACGTAATCGGAACTGATTTTTAACCTCTTAGTGCTGAAAATGGAAAGAACTTTAAAGAAGTATTTAGATTCATGTTTTAAATTTAAAAATTCCGACAATATGTAAGATCACACATGATATACAGATGCATGTAATTTATGAAACATTTCTGTGTGTCATTTACTGTTGTTTTTTCATGTTTCATATCAATTCATTTCTGAATGTATTGGTTGTTCATACACCATTTCCTTACTAACAATTGTTGCAAGCTATGTATGTTTTGATGGAAGAACATTAAACTTTTTACCAAATGCATGGGTTAATGATTTAGCTGGAACTGACACGTGTACACGGTCTCGGTTGATGGATGAAATATGAAGATAACCAACAGCATTCAATCTCGAAAGTCCACTGAAAAGATACAAATTTGGAGCAGAGCAAACACGGACCTCAAAATTTAGAGGTGGGATCAGGTGCCATGGAGGAGTGAGAATCCCCTGCCGACCGGTGACACCCGCCGTGTGCTCCTTGTCATGATTGGGGGGGAAAACCGGAAAAATCCGTAAACAGTTCAGTGTATAAGTAATGGCATAACAATTAGTGTGAAAAACATCAGTCAGCATTTGACTTAATGATAGGTTGTATGCGCTGACAAGGTCATTGTATCGACCGTAAAACTTGCGAAATGATGACTTACTTGTTTCATCAACTTGATTGTCAATAGTTTGCCTCGTTTTAGATATTGTTCATACGTAGAGCATGCTCTTGCGTATCGAATCAACTGAGAGACATAAACCCCATATGCAGTTGATAAGGGTTTATTGCTACAGAAGTAAGGGAAGTTGACGATTGAAAAGTTAAGTCATCACATTTATCATAAAGCTTTGTTGTTATCTAGGTTACCATTAACGTCTTTTTCAAGTAAAATATCTAAATATGAAACAGATGTGTCAGAATCTGTGGTATCTTTCACTTAAAGCTTTGGATCAATCACGTATAATTAGACAGGACAAGCGAAAAAAATTTGAAAAGCCTATTTAGATAACATATACAGAACAAATAATTTGAAATCAAATATGTTAAGCTCAAATATCAATTCTACTTGAATGTTAAAAATACTAAGAATGTGAAATATATATAAAGCATCCTGTAACAGTATGAAAAAGACAGACTCTTGACATTGACACACACACAAAAATATTTGAACGAGTACTCGGCTATCGTTCTTCTAAAGCATCCGAGTATTCGAATAAGCTGTCCGAGTAAAACTGACATCCCTAAAAATAGTAACGTTAACAGCAAGATAATCACAAATAAAATGCTAGTAAGTAAAAAAAAAAGAAATCCGGATCTACATGGAGAAAAATTATTTTATATCACATACCCTGTAGTGTTTCATCCCTGATACAGGTATTTTGCAATATGTGAGATATATAGAGAATATCACACTCTTATTTTGATCTCAAACCTGAGATTGGCCCTGAGATGTGGTCTCGGTCCGAGCCTTTAGCCCCAGATCAAATCAAATTAATTAGAGTGGATGTTGTTTATAGCATATGCTTAAAACACACTAAGAATTCAATGTTTAAAAATTTTTATCAGTATTTACAGGAGAAGAATACAGCACATACACATCGCTACATTTTACAATAATTTTCATTCATTCAAGGGATGTACATTGATTGCAATATTTCCACCAGTGTTTGCATTTGTAACATGTTGATATTCGTCACACCCGTCATCAATCATGTCACATTGTTCTTGATAATTGTCTGTAGCAGTGCCCACAGTTCCCCTAGAAAATACGGTGGACATTTCAGTTTTCTTTTTGCATGATTGTAAAGTGGTTGTAGTTATTTATTGACTCCTGTAATTTGCATTATCAAGAACCATGTGACACGAATTTTCTAAGCCAGGCAGTCCAGTTTATCGAGACGTCTGCGCATGTAAACACCGCTGGACAACAGCAGTCAGTTCCATGGTTGATCTTCGCATCTCTTTGAGAATCAACGGAATGAAAATACAGCCAGAAAAACCTTCAACATGTCACAAAATAACAACATTAGTGGAAATATCACAATCAATGTATATCCCTTGAAGGAATGAAAATTGATGTAATAAGGAGCAATGTATATATGCTGGGTTTTTTAAATTTCTAAACTTTGTTATCTTGTGTTTTAGGCATGTAATAAAAACAACATCACACTCTAATTTTGATCATGGACCTGAGATTGGCCCCTCGGGTGGTCTAGGCTCTGTAGGCTAGGGCTGAGACCACCTCTCAGAACCAATCCCAGCGATAAGAGAATACATAAATGTGTCATACTTTTTGTAAAGCTCGTAAACTGCAAAATTATATCGCATCTTTTGAAAATAATAATTTCTTTATTTTCCTATTGAAACCTACTTTATTGTTGAAACATGTACCTGATGATGCCACTTTTAAGTAGTCCATTTATTTTAAGCTTTAACACGTTTGAATTGAATAAAGGCAAACCATAAACTTGGAGAAAAATAGGAAGGACGAGGTTTGGTATTAGAGAGACACAAAGAATACATGCAGGCATGTATCGATATTCTTATGTTATGTATGTCAATGGATTAAGGATGACAAAAGAAAATATGCTCATTTTAAATGTCGGAGATTTCAGGAGAACCTGATCCAATACATCAAGCTTTACTCGTTCTCTCTTCAAAGTACAAAATTATTGTTTATAAAACCAAGTCGTCTGTATTTTCGGTTCCCAATGTAATCCCGGTGAATTAACTTAAAGTGTGCATGTGTTTCAGAACAAAGCTCCATTGTGATACAAAGAGAGGGTATTGAAGGGGATTGAGAAATTACATTTTGAAATCAAAACATGGTCAATATTTCGGTTATCTTTAATCACAAGTCTTAAGTATCAAATTTGTGATTTTTTTATTATAAAATACAGTCAACACACAGTTTTAAAAAAATGTACTCCGGTACCGTTATTGGTCATGACATGTACACGAAAGACCTTCTGAATGCCAAAAAATAAATAAAATCTACATTTTTGTGCCTCTTAATACTAGGAATGGGTGCATGTAACACTTTTTAATATTTCTATCATTTTTTCTTTTTCTTTTTTCATTTTGGTCATTTCGCTTTGTCCTTAATATTGATCACATCTTAAGTGCACAACATGAATGCTTCATTTTCGGTTCAGATGGTAGCTCATGACAATAAAACGTGTCTTGAACCAAAATCGATGTCATTTGAACAAAGTTGGCTCACAGAGAATGGAAATATAAAATTCATGTAAAGTTCATATTTATGACGAACAACGACAGATCGGTACAGATATCTACAGATCAGTTAAATGACTCTGGTGACCTAAAGGTGGATTTTTTGAAACAAATTATACATGTACATTGTAGTTATGATGAAGAATATAGGGCATTTTTTATTGCATGGTCTAACGAAATAATATGAGTTTATTATGATGGTAATCGAGAGTTTAAGGATAAAATGAACTTAGCGTTACAGCGTGAGATATTTTGATGATATAAAACAACGCATTTGCTTCATAACTAAATCGAAGATTCTAGATCTGTAAAACTGCAAAGCATCAATATACTTTACTAAGAATTTTAAGTGTTCAAGTTTTACCATATGTATACTTCATATTGTATTATGTAGAAAATAAATTAAGTAATACTTGACATCATATTGAGGTAATTTTAAACATATCAAGGCTAAAAAATTTTTTTTTTCTCCCTGCAAATATACAGAGTGTTTTAAGATGATTCATTTTTCAGTTAAGCTGTAAAAATTAGGAAAATTTTATTGTCATTTTTTTTATGTGTAAATATATTTATTTTGAGAAAATAGTTGTACCCATCGCTTTAATGCTTTAAAATATTTTTTTAACAAACGAAAAAAAAACCCAAAAATGAATTTGAATTTTAATAAATAAATACCTGACTATTTCATGCATACGATGAAATCAACATATCTATAAAAATTTTGGAAAAAAAAAATTCTCAGTTGCCTATACAATAACATAAGACTGTAGTAATTAATATTTTGATGAATTGAATTTTCCATGCTCAGCCAATGGGATCTTTTGAAAAAGTATTTTCAGCTTTTTTTATGAAAGCGATATTTTCTCTTTAAGCATTTTAATTTAATACTTCTATATTTTTAGGAATATTTTTCAGGAACTATGTATTGTACATACTGTTTAATTTATACTGAGTGAAGAATTAAGAGGAAAATTACCTTCTAGTTCCTTAAACACCTTTGAAATATTCACTTATTTACTTACCTGTGAAGTAACCACTTGTCAACAACAACAACCAAATCACATGTCTGGCTTTGTTCATCGTGAAATATAAAGAGTGGGTAGAAAAACTGCAATGTTGAACGTATTCACATTAAGTGGAGATTTCTAGTGCAGTCTTTTAATAAAGTAGGATAAAAAAAAAGTTCTCAATAAGCTGAAGAGATTAACATTGGGCAGCACTATCAGATACAAATTGGGACATACCATAAACATGACAGTGTAGCTACTCATTTTAGATGTTGTATTTTATAAATCCAATGTAAATGATTACAAGTGCTCGTTCTCGATAAAAATGGTTCCCCTGCAGGGGCTGCACGAACAATGAAGTTTTTTTTCTTATAGTTATAAGAAAAATATATTAGGACAAGGCACAATTAAGACAGGCATGAGGAGCAATGTTATCTCTGACATTAAATATGAAAAACAGAAACTGCTCGTGAAGAAGAAATCATAAACCCTTTCCTATTTGTTCTTACGATTATTTCTTTTATACTCTGTATTATTTTGGGTTTTTTTTTATTATTGAATATGCTAAATACAAAGGGGAGCAAATCAATAAAAAAGACAGCCTTAAGGTATGTCACTCGTGAAATTTGTTATATCAAGGATCTTTTGAGAAGTATATTATGGATAAGTACTCATATAGTATGACTCAAAATCGCAGAGAAAATGGGGGGGGGGGGGGTCAGTGTGCATCTAACTGAGCTATGGTACAATTAAAGTGACCTTTTTGCACTTAAATTGTAACTCTTTGGTTAATCACTTTAACCGTTATCATATTTTATAAGATGTAACCATGGCAATAAACATAATCTTATTTTACGTCAAATAGTTTGAATAATATTTATCATTGAACAAATCATGCAAATTAATGCGCGTAAATTATTGTGTGACCTTTTTGCACTAAAAAAGTCTCATATTTGGGGTATTAAAAATCTAAATAGGCAATAGAATATTTTCTTGTATCAAACTTTTTACGACTTAAGTGCTGATCGGTCAAAAGTATCGAGTAGTTTAAAATAATGAAGGAAAAAGTTTGGGTCGGTGACGTAAATTTTGAAATATTGGTCAAAATATGCGATTTTCAGGCAAAAAACTGTGTAAATTTTATCTCGATTTCCTTAATATATCTTCATTTCTTGGTAATGTTTGTTGAGCGAAGGTGTAAATTTTGTTATAAAAATATAAATTGAGACCTATATTGAATATTCCAGGCATATCATAACGGAAAATATTCTCTGAGTAAAAGTATGTGAGGCTTAAGTTCCCAAGATACTAAATTTAATAAATGTGTAGATTTGCAGAATTTTCTGCTAAATATCCTTCCGCCACAAGAAATAGTCGGTTATAAATCTTGCTTCTTTGTGAATTTTTGAGCAGTTTTTTAATTGAATGTTGAACATTTTACATTGTTTAATTTAAATATGTTATAAAGATTGAATTGTAATAAATAGTTTTTAAGTAAGAGGTTCTGACTGAAATTTTCTAAAAGGCTGACGAGTGACATACCTTAAGGTACTATATATGCGACTTTTTTTTGCTTGATATTTCAAGCCATAAACAGGATACCGTAAATGAAGAATAGAAACTTTTAATTTGCTATAACAGTTTCGTGCATATTTAAGATGATTGCTGGATATAAAGTATCATTGTATAGTGTGAATAAACGGATATCTAAAGCTGAACGAAAATTGTAAAATGTATCTTAACTATATTCATTTCAAATAGGATAAGGAACTGGACAGCAGGCAAGAATGCATGTGTAAGTCTCTCTTTGTATAGGTCATTTACAAAATATAACGTTTTGAAAAATGGAAGTATAAAAAAGAATGTTACAAATCAAACAATTAAAAAGTGCATACATTAAAAAAAATGTACTCAATCAGCTGTTTACAATTTTTTTTTTGTAAGTTGTATAGCAAAAACGGGCAAATGCATGAATAATATTGGACTTTGCTCTTTTATAATTTTAAATATATCAGTGTTAATGATATATTGATGTGATGCACAGCATCAGATACATTTCTACTAAGATCACATTTTGTTTCTTTTCTCCATAAAATAATTTCTTGGTGTTGAAAGAAATATTAACTCATTAAGATATTGTAAAGTTATTAATAGAACTTGTCCTTTGTAATGATTTAGAGAACAATACAAAAGCTGTTTTTCGAGGTCCGTGTTTGCTCTGCTCCCGAGCTGTATTTCATTTGTAAGGCTCATTTCAACTGCAATTTGGAGGAAGTCGGTTTTAATTCACATCTGGTAATCCAACCTATACTCAGTTTCCTTTCAAAAAATTAAATTCTTCAAAATCACCTGAATGACCAGTTTTGAATACTTTTAACATTCCAGTCAATGAGTTTGATTTACCGTAGTTATACTGGATTCCAAAATTTCATAAAAATCCTTACAAATAAAGGGTAGGGTCTCTCAATTGTTCAATGAAGACCTTATCCTCATACTCCTCACCGAAATATTGACTGCTGTGTACATGAAACTTCAGACGTATTGTGCAACTTCAATGTCAAGAAGTGGTGTAAATCAAAAGAGGATTGTAAATAAAAACTCAAACGAACTTTTGAAAAATTTACAATCTCAAAACTTTTCAAACATCAATAGCTACAAAACAACTAACGTTTTTACGCTTCATATAAATTAATGAGCAGTCTGTTTGATATCATAGATAACTGCTTCCTCGATAAAAATGGAACTTTTTTTCATATATTGTGATTGGTCATCTTCAAAATTAGTCAGTAAAGAATCATTCTGATTCTACATACAAGTACTCTGAAGTTAATTTTAAAAAAGATGCTCCTCCATGGCACCTGATCTCACCTCTGGTGTCTTAGAGGTCCGTGTTTGCTCTGCTCCTATTTTGTAATGTTTAATGGACATTTGAGGCTCGAATACTGTTCGTTATCTCTACATATTTCATGCTGGAGTTCCTCATTGCCATTATCTATGTAGTCTTTGGAGACCAGGTCTTCCAACAATCTCTTGTAATTACTCTGTCAAATGAGTTGATGTTACAAGGATTTTCACAAGCCCGTTTAAAGTCAGCATTCCGAAAATTCTAAGGTCGTTATAATGCCCTTGTTTGTAAATACAAAGTATCGTTGGGACGTATTTAGTCTGACATGATTGATACCATTTGTTAGGCCATTGTTTTTATACTAAATTTGACTATGGAGTACTTCATAAACATGTATATGAACAGTACATAGCCTCATGGCTGGCGTGAATGGTCGACAGGGATGCTTACTCCCCCTAGGTACCTGATCCCACTTCTTGTGTTTCCAGAGGTCCGTGTTTTTTCATGTTCACGATTCTTTTTGTTTATTGGATTTATGAGATTAATCACTGTTCGTTATTTTCACATTTAACACTGTTTAAAGTAAAAAAAAAAAACTCATAAATTTCCAATTTGCAAATTCAATATAGTCTTTTCAATGATTGTGAAAATTTCAGTGTTAAAATATAAGTTGCCATACAAAACTAAAAGCATATCACTTTAATCTTTATAAATACAAAATGTTTGTCTCAGATTTTTTCTACATCAAAAATGCAGAAAAACATATATTTACTTTCGATATACGTATATATATATATATATATATATATATATATATATATATATATATATATATATATATATATATATATATATATATATATATATAACAGATCATTATCTTTTGGTGGGACTACTGTCTTAATGCATTCCAATCACACATAAAAGAGCATTAGATATTTCATGAGATGTTAGATTAAAAAAAATTTAAAGGTTTCTAGTCTTTTCAAGTGTTCTGGCCTTTTACAAGGTTCTTCATTAATTTTCGTTCGTTTTTGCTTGACGATCGATTATTGGTGATAAATATGAGAGATGTAAGTGCATGTTAAGACCTCCTGACATATAAGGAATCCCCCCTGTCAAACAGAGACTACGGGGGATCTCTGGTCACTGAAAAAGCTTGTCCTCGTGACGAAAGATAATTTATGTTCACTTACTTGTGCGTGAACATCAAAAGTCACACAGGGAGTTGATGTGTTACATTATCGCTCGAACCATAGCTATCACTTTGAATGCAAGTCTCATTCCTTTTAATTTAAATTATAAACACCAACGTAATGAATGGAACACACCGATTAATGTTCAAAATGCTCAACTTCAAAAATTATTTTGGACAAAATAAAAAATGAGTAGTTATGAATAAGATGTTGTTACGTTTAATGAAAGACTGATTTCTTTAATCAAAGCTATGGTGGCATATCCCCCCCCCCAAAAAAAAAAAAAAAATTGCAAGTTATTTTTTTGATATATTATACCGACATGAATATGACAGCATTCAATATAACTATATGTTGACATAAAGGAAAAATGTGATCGGATTAGAATTAGGATAATTTCATAAAATATTGTCCACAAAAACAACAAACATATCTATGCTGAAATACAACTTTATGTTGAAATGCAACTTATTTAAATGTTAATAAAAAGTATTTATGCTATTAATTTAGACTTTTATTACAATACAATTATATGTTTTGTATTTTGCTTATATAAAGGAGAGGCCACTCAACCTTTCCTAAATATTTTGTGCATCTTCGACGACTCTTTATAGCCTACTTTAATACCTAAGAGTGATATGAATATGTTTTGAAATTTGTCTGTACACAAAGAAGATGAATGTACCGGTAACTCTAAATAAGTTTCTTGTCAACATAAATACGTTGCATATCAACATAAATAAGTTGCATCTCGCTTTTTGAAAGTCATATATGATATTTAATATTTTATTAAAAGTTTCCAAATTCTTAAAGAATCACATTTTTCTTGCATGACAAAATACATGTCCTTAGTAATGATGCATGTTAATATATATATACATGTGTATATGTAGAACAAGAACAGAGATATGGGTTAACCCATATCCAAGTTATTCGTAATATAATTTTTTCAGTAAACGACTCAGAAAAACTTATTGCTAGCGATCCATTTAAAAGAAAATCTTTGGTTACTATACGTCTATGAAACTGGCGCATTTCTTCATGTCTATAGCAATCTCGTATTACAATGATCAGTCTTCCGTCAGTAGAAAACACTGAAAATTCTCATGTTTGAAATGCTTGCAAGGCATGTAAAATGACGACAAACACATTCTATAATATGGTACATTAATGACATTCGTAAAAAAAAATATATTAAGAATTAACGTGGAGTTGCTGTCTAATCTGTACACTGATTTGCTTCAAAAGATGTTCAAGTCATTCGCTAAATTGGTTAATTATATATACAATTTTTTTTACACGAATATAGATAACCGATTTTAATAACAAGAAATGGGGGCAATTTTTCGCTCTGTGGCTTTCTGTAAGTTACTATATAACAGATGACGAGTAGTCTCCTGTATCGTTGCTGAGCAAAAGTTTTCATCACTCGCTTCTCAAGCAAAACACAACATACACTGTGACACAATTTAATTGGCATTCTTTTTCCCAGGCAATAATCTACTAATAATATCATGAATATAATGAACAATACTCACGAAAGAAAGTATACATGTGCAAAGAACAAATTGCAATAAAAAGAAATTCATAAAAAATGTCAAAATTTTGAAGAATGACGTATATATATTTTTGAAAAAACACTGAACAGGAAGCAGACGTTGAAATATGTAAAATTATTATTTTCATTTCCAAGGGAAAAAGTTAAATTTTCAAAATTATTTTATGTAAGATTGGATACCTACCGGTATAACGAAATACACATACTTTAACATTCTAAACATTTCTTATAACGTTGTATCTGCTAATCAGGATTTGAACTATATATTCAGAGCAATTACGCGATGAGTACATGACTTAAGTACTATATATGCGCTGATCGAATACAGCTGTATATTAAAAATAATTTGCCTATATACGGACAGAAACGTTCCACCTTAGGTTCCAATGAAATAATTTTTTTTACAAGTTTCTAAAACAGCACCTTTCTAGGTTTAGTTCTGGCATAATCCATTTTACTTACAATGTGTCTATGAATTGAAAATATATTAAAAGTAAAAGGAACCTACCGGTAAAATAACTAAAAGCAAAACACGATTAAATTACTTTTTTAAACCCCCTTCCTCCTTTTGATAACCTGAAATTACCTTTCGATATTTCTTTCCTCATAAGATAAAATTCAAATTTCACATGAACATACTTAAAATAGGGAACGTGATCTTATTTATTGTCTATCCTGTAGATATTTTAAACGACTGAAACATCAAGAAAGACACATGGAAATAAATAGTTTTTGTAGGTTTATGTCTGTAAAACTGTGTGGATTAAGGACACTTCATTATGTTTGGCAAAATATTAAAGGATTTACAAGAAAATTTGCATAGGGAAGTGTTATGTAATAACTATCAGTAATGTTCTTTATAGCCATCTGACTGGTAAATCTGTACTCATGAAGAGGTTACTACGTATTTCCTTGTCAGAAAAAAAAAACCCGATTATTTTCTGGTCCTGTCGGAATCCTGACCAAACTAAAACATTCAATTCGCCTTTTCAATTGCTTCACATTCCCGCACAGATAGGAGAGGTTTAATAAAAAAACCACTTGTTGGATATTGTTAAAGTTTGAGTTAAGTTGTACTTTTTGATAATGATGAAAGACTGACTGTGATAACCGTTAGAATATAGCTGTACATTGTATGTGTACTGCACTGGGTTTGATTCTAGAGTAATGTCTCGATTCATTAATTTTGACCAAAAAGATAAAAATTCTTTTTTAAAATTAATATTAAATGTAATAATATCTTACTCCAAATCTCATGTGTAAAAAACGAAAAGATTTAGCCTATCTTTCTAAACTTTAGAAAAGCAACATATCAAAAACTAAACTGATTTTATGCCTTTTTCTTTTATACTGAAATATTTAACGTAATACAGTTTTTTTTTTTTTTTTTTTTTTTTTTTTTTTTGCTTTGTGTATATTTCGATAGAAAAAAAAAACTACTCGCATTCAAGTATATTTTTCCCTTTTACCCCAATATGGCAATTTCGAGAATTACAAAATAAAAAACCTCAGATCTCTTGATAAAAATGGAAATTAAGCTAAGCAAACTCTAGCTTGGCAAAATCTACATCCCTAGACATATTTGGAATCAAACAATGAGTAAATATAAGGACCTCACCAATTAAATGCAAATATGAATAGATAGATTGATTATATGTTGATTTACGTTCCATTCGAGAACTTTTTCACTCATATAGAGAATTCACCATATACCGGTGAAGGGCTTTAAATTTACACCTTAACTCGGCACTCAGGGCCATTGAGCAGTGAGAGTTCTTTATCGTGCCAACGCCTTCCATTCTCAAAAATTTCAAGGAACTTTACAAAAATTCGAAATCACAAAATTTTACTAAAATCAATCACATTAAAACGTACGTCGACTTTTCAACAGTTTATACACCATTCCCAACGATAAATTGAAGTCCAGGCTTTTTGAAATCGTTGACAGCTGCTTTTTCAATACAAATGGAACTCGTAACTTTACTTACCTTGTCATTGGTCAATTGCAAAAACATTTCGTTAAAAAACACTCTGAGTGTACACACAAGTACTCTGAAGTTGAAAAGATGCTTGAGTTTCTGAATGACAATAACTGTGAAGTTTTTAAAGATAGGTCTACCAACAGTCTTTCAAAATTCCCATGGGTACTAATTGCATCCCATTAAATTAGCAGATTTATATGAAGAGAATTCATCCAAAATCTTATACATGAGAAGAAGAAAACACTTGCTGTTGCCTTCAACTCGACATTTTGATATATCGACGACGGATCATCAATAAACAACAGCTACTGTTGACCACTGAAATAAAAGATACACACATCTGTTTCATATTTGGATATTTTACAAGAAAAAGAAGTTAATGGTAACCTTACAACAAAGCCTTATGATAAACGTGATGACTTCAACTTTTCAATCGTCAACTTCCCTTACTTTTGTAGCAATATACCCTTATCACCTGCATATGAGGTTTATGTCTCTCAGTTGATTCGATACGCAAGAGCATGCTCTACGTACATGTACGAACAATTACTAAAACGAGACAAGCTATTGAAAAACAATTTGAAGAAACAAGAATATCAACGGTCTCGTTTAAAGTCATCATTTCGCAAGTAATAAGGTCGGTACAATGACCTTGTCAGCAAATACAATTTTTTATTAAGTCAAATACTGACTGATATTTTTCACACCAATTGTTAAGCCATTATTTACACTCTGAATTGTCTACGGATTTTCCCGTTTTCTCCCGATCATGACAAGGAGTACACGGTGGGTGTGACCGGCCGGCATGCGATGCTCACGCCTCCAGGTGGCACCTGATCCCACCTCTGATGTTTTAGAGGTCCGTGTTTGCTCTGCTCCTGATTTGTATTTTTTGAATGGACTTATGAGCTTAAATACTGTTGGTTATCTTGTAGAAATATACCTTGGATATTTTACTTGATGAACATCTGGCAAATAGAACTATTTTTAATCATCTCTATATATACAGATATATATAGTTGAATATAGAATTTTTAGGCCTTTGATTTTATACTGTATTTGATTATGGAATGTTCCTTCTACCTGATCAATAGATAGGGCTCACAGGGTGTGACCGGTCAACAGGGGATTCTTACTCCTCCTAGGCACCTGATCACACCTCTGAAATTTCCAGGGGTCCGTGTTTTATGCCCTCTTTACAGATTTGTACTGTTTTAAATTATAATTTTTTTTTTTTTTAGATCGATCACTGTTCCTTATCTTCACGGTGCGAACACTCGTGAAAATATCCACATCTCATGTCTCACGAGTGAATAAAACCCATATCCAACTACAAAAGATTGAATTCTCGGGGTTTCCTTTTGACACTGTCCATTTGTAAAGCAATGTCGTGGGTTTCCTTTTGACACTGTCCATTTGTAAAGCAATGTCGTGGGTTTCCTTTTGACACTGTCCTTTTGTAAAGCAATGTCGTAGGCAGGCACACCTAAACAATTGTGAAGTTGAAAATTAAACAATTTAAAGAAACTTTGATTTGTTCGAGTCAAAATGATTTATTTACTCACATTGCTCTCTACAATGGGCATTTTCTTAAAAGGGCTTGGATCCAAATGTGAGGTTAACATTTTCTAATATTTTCAGTGTAATAGCATGTCTTATTGGTTCTGATTAGAGCATTTCACACCGAAAATTAGAATTTTTTTTATCCGAGAATTATTAAAACTACGAATTTCGGGACGCCTTTGATTGACATGCATCCTTGCAATTTCACTAGGTAATTGTGAATATTTAAGAAAAGTAAAGAATTCTTTTGTATTAATGAACAACATCAAAAGTATTATCCATAATATTCAGAGTAAAAGCATATGAAAGCATACTTGTACTGTCAGTAAGTGGCTAGTGATGTGTGCAGAGTAAATAAATTGAACACACCCATTAAAACGTAAATATTAACAATAAGAGAGCTCGTATCCATGTTTACAAACACAGATGTGTGACCTGATGTTATCAAACATCCCCTTGTCAATGAATTTTAAGAATTTTCATGCAAGTTTAATTTATTAAACCGAAGTTATTATTTTTTTAATCAAAAATAGAAATTTAAAGTTGTAATCAAAACGGCAATGCAATTCTGTGACCAGACCCCTTTAATAACACTCTTCGCGAAGGGGACTGGAATCGCAATTTTTGCCATCATTTTTTTTCACTTGAGAAAATATCACTTCTGATATTTTTACTGTAAAGATTATAGCTTTTATTCTTCAAGGAATAAATTACAGTATTTTACAGTTGAAAATGTAATAAAATTTCAAAAATTACAACGACAAATGTGTACTTAAGTTGTTGATATCACTTTGGTCTCTTTATAAATCGGTTAGTTTTTAAATTAGTTTTTTCAGCCGAATACACTAACACTTGAGATTGACGTATCCCTTGTGTAGAAGCAGTAATGGACTTTGTGGTATTGATTACAATCCTCATCGTACGGTTGACATGTGTTGTAATAATAACTTCTTGCACATGTGCAGCTGTTGTATCTCGAGTTCTCTGCATAAGGATACTTAATCCACTCATCAGTAGAGCGCATGCCCAACACTTTTTGACATTTCTTTGTCCTATGCTCAGGGTAAAGGTAGAATGATTCTTGATGGGGTAAAATTATTGGCTTGTCAACATTTCCGTCACTTCTAAAATAACAATACGAAAATACTCATGAATAAAAAAAAGTCTAAAATAACAATACGAAGATACGCATGAATAAAAAAAAAACTGTTTCATTGCTGCATCAGTATCACTAATGAAAAGTCGTTTATTCGAATTCCAGTTCAGTATACTGCTTCATGTTGTAAATTTCCACCATGAAAATTAAATATTAATAACAAAACAGAGGAAAATAAAATCTAGTTTTCGAGTTAACCATCGGGTTAGAATTCTCAGAACTCTCAGAATTTTTTTTCGGATTTGATTAGGGTAATTTTCAGAATCTTAATAATAAAAAAAAATATTTTATATAAATATCATATCAAAACATTATACTACCTGCAGCAGTAATACATTTTGTAGGACTGTCCAGATGTTGCTTCAAGTTTTGGTATGTTTCCGGAGAACTCAAGTGACTGGTCGTAGGTAGTAGACAGGTACTGCTCTCTTGGGTAAAGACTATAAGTAATGGTTACGCTAGAAAAACCTGTCAATCAGAAAGAATTATAAGATTTATGGTAGAACACAACAACTGTGCACGGAATTAGTCTTAACTCATGACTTCTCAAACACGACAAATAAATAAATAAAATATCTATAATGTCAATATGAATGAACGTTCTGAAGAAAAAATATGAACGACATTTGTTTGTCATATTCCGCAAAAAAAAAAAAAATAAAAATAAATAAATGAATAAATAAATTAAAAAAAAAAATTAAATTAAATTAAATAAAAAAAAAAAATGAGGACATTTGACATAAGAAACATTCGGGATTTTACATTTTGAATGTGTTCATTTGAATTATTTTATTTAAGTATAATTAACTGTCAAATGATCAAATGTAAGCTTTGTTTCTTTTACAGCTATATATGCTGATGAGCTGATAATTAGTTAAATATAAAAGTAGTCTTCAATCCAATCTCTGTGCATAATCTTGAAATTAAAGTTCACATATAATGTCATTTAACGATTCTATTAATTTTTCCTTCTTTGAAGCTTTTGACAAGACCTTTCCTTCCGTACCAATACTTTTAATCTCAAAACCTTGATCTTGTAGTATGACCTACTTTTGAAAAACTTTAACCTTGACCCTATTTTCTGAATGATTGGTGTTAGGGCTTACGTATTTCACACGAGTATTTATTGTGACAAGACCTTTCTTTGGGTACCAACATTTTTTAACTCTTTACCTTGACCTTGGAGTTTGACCTACATTTAAAAACTTTAACTTGACCTTGAGCTGGCCCTCAGTGTTTCACAAACACATCTTGTTTTTTTTTTTTAAATTTATTTCTCTTTCTCTCTGTCTCTCTCTACAATGTATGTGTAAGTTGTGATTTTGATCCCAAGACAGGGGTACTCTGAAAATAGCCTACTGTATTAAGTTCTCAAAATTATTCCTCAGATCCTAACCTATCGAAATTTATTTCGAGGAAGGCCTGCCCTGAAGGACTTCTAGGTCAATGCATGTTTATGCAAAAGGTTGTGCTTAAACGGGGAAGTGCTGTTTTGGTCATTTTTGAGGGTTAATTTTCAAATTGCAAATAATTTCCTGAAATTACCAGTTCAAAATCCAAAATTGAAATATTTAGACATATATACTATAGAAAATAACTAATAAACATTGATTTTCAGATGTGACTTTTTTAGGAAAATTGTTCTATCCTATACGTTAATTCTTTTGAAATTCAGAATACATCTTTTTTCTAAAATTTGAATCATACATTTTTTCTAAGAGATCTTAAACACTGTTAAAGTGTAGAATGTTTATCATGCATGGATTTACCATTGATAAATCTATGTACGTGGGATGATCAACATTAATGTCACAACTGCTATAAAATCTTTAATAATTGAAAATTTTGATTATTTATTTTTACATACTTATACCACTATATAATTTGACTTGTGCTTTATAATTTCATTTAGATATATGCAATACTTTATCAAATACTTTATACTTTGATCCTGAAGCATGAACCTTCCTTACAAAGTACTACATGTAGTATGAAAATTTGGCAAAATGGTGAAATGGACAACCCTACCTGATGGACAATTGTTTGATACTTGAGCGATGCAGTAAGATCCCCGAGGCCATGGATTGGAGGAATCACCAGATGAAGTTAAACCGCAGTAGAACATGTTGAGGATTGTTGCGTTATGTAGTCCTGTACAAAAAAGGTGGAATTAATCTCTTTATGCTTTAATTAAATCTATGGTATCATTTCTGGGAATTACAAAGGCAATGCTCCTGCAAAAGAGAGTTCTAGTTCTTGATTTTTTTCTATCAGCAATGATTTGATAACTTCAATGATATTTTATATTTTCGGTAAAGTTATCACGAGCATTGCATTCCAAGAAATAATATATTTATTACATATCTGTGACGTAATGTTTAATATTCATCATATTTTTTTTTTCAAAAACGAATTCCTGTAAATTAAGACTCATCAATATTACTTGAATATTGACAATATATACAATGAGACTTGAGAGAATTAATCATGTAAATGACGCACGCTGTACATGCATATGGTAGCAGCATTTGTAATTACTCTAAAATTAAGATATGTTTATTAATCAAGGATTGTTTGTTACCTTTCAGATGAATTTCATTCTGATAATGAAAGGTATTGTTTGGGAATGAATCGATGCGAGTCGAAAGTTGGTGGGTGAGATTTCCTACTCTCCATGAACCACTATCCTTGGGACAACCGCCAACAGGTTCTGGAAGTGCGAATGGCGGAGACGGCCAGAAAACCGGATATTCCGGACTAGAATCTAAGATACGGATTCAAAATTATTATGATAGCTGTTGTAAATCAAAATGTTTTGAGTTTACTAACCTTTCTAATTTTTTTATCTTATACTTTCAGCTAGTTTAAGGCATATGCAACCGTGAAAGTATCACCATCAAAGCCACCCATTACTTTGTTCAGTCAGTCGGATCGAGTTTATTTTTCTCTTTGTTCGAAATAACCAAGACTTGTTTTCCAAACAAATCCAGAGATGATTAATTCTTCGGTTATTGAAAGGAAGGCCGTCACGGTAGCTCATTCGGTAGAGAGCTCGCTCCGTGATCGGAAGGTCGTGTGTTCGAATCACTGCCGCGATTGACCTAAGTCGATAAGAAATAGGTAGCAACTGTTCCTTCGCCAAGCGCTCGGCACTTTGAAGTGAGAGTTGCGGGTCCTTCGGAGGGAACCTTAAAAACCGAGGCCCCGTGTCACAGTAGGTTTTGGCACGATAAAGAACCCTCCCTGTTCAATGGCTTGAGTGCCAAGTAACGGTCTAAATTTGAAGCCCTTCATCGGTATATGGTGATGTCTCTACATGAGTAGAAAATTCTCGAACAAACATAAAATCAATCAATTAATCAATATTGAAAGGAAGTGCTGATTGTATTATTATTTTTGTGGTACTGTTCTGACTTTATTCTTTAAAGCAACTTACAACCGATTCGAAATACTGAAAGATATTACTTATCTTAAGCTTTCATATAGAGAAATAAAAGCTTAGCAAGAATTATGAATAAATGGAAAGGCCATTAGGTAAAGAACACCAAAACGACATAGAAAAAGTTAAAATCTTACAAAAATTTTAAACTCACACAGAAATAAAAAACTTTGCACAAATAATATTGTGATTTACCAAGTTAACATTAAGGGTGCAACGATAAACCGTTTGACGGTATATCGCGGTATATTTTTCCACGGTTCAATTCACGATACGCTAAACTGATACCGCGGTTCGGTTCAATCGGTCCAGAATTATCCGAATCGTCCGTTTTGTTTCCTTTTTTACAATTTCAAAATGGCTCCCGCGCAAAACCACGTGAGGTCGCCGATAAGGCATTAACGGAAGTTAAACTCATCTCCACCATCTTACAGACCTCAGATTTAACACGGAGAAGGACTGAATGTGGTTATAAGTTAAGATGTTAAGACAAATGATAAACCCTTTAGATCTAAACGTATTCTTTGGTAATACACGATATTTCATCAACTGTGCATTTCGATGAAAATTCACTGTCTTGTTGACTAAAACGTGTTAACACGAGAAATATGACAAATGGTTTTCTACGTAAATAAAATGGATAAAAGAATGAATGTCTTCCTTTTTCATTCCAATTTAAAAGGAAGATTATTAGGAAAGGTCCCGTAGTCCCCTGTAAATGTTCATCATTGGTTTGGAAAATTGTCAAAACTCAAAGATCTACCTAACAATCCAATTCAAGTTAACAAAATTTTATTTTAATTATTATTAAAAAAATATGAACATTTTATATAACCCTGTCAAGTTAAACAAAAAAATATGATGACAAACTTGAAAGACTTTTTTAACCTTGTCATGTATCGTGATACGTATCGTATCGTGAACTGAATACCGTGATACGTATCGTATCGTGAGGTTAGTGTATCGTTGCACCCCTAGTTAACATGCACTGGTCAATAATCAAGGACTGCATAAAGACGGAAAAAAAGAGGGATCCAAAAGGGTATTTTTTCTTACAAAATATCACGGTATTATTACCAACTAATGACATTCATTATCGATTTGTTTATATTTGAATTATTTACTTCAAAACAATTACTCTGTCAAATGAGTCAATTCTAAATATGAACAGAAAATAACCTTTTGCTGGCGGTGCATTCAGAAATTCTGCATACAGACTCAGAGCTTTCTGAATATTTTGTTGTTTCTCGGGTAGCAAACTATCGAAACCGGATGTACAAAGTTGCTTATGCACTATGTCCTTTGGCAGCTGCCAATAATCTATGTCCAACAGCTTGTCTATGCTTATAACCTTATATTTGATTGGTTCGCTGACTTGCTCACTGCCCTTCGACATAGACGAAATGGTGATCATCTTTGAGGCAAAGGATTCAAGGGAGGTTGAATTATCTAGGAATGTTTTAGACAAGGCGATTGAAGACTTGTGTTTTCTTGAAGAACCTGTCGGTACTAGTAAGTCTGGATTCTGAGTACGTATAAAAGACATTGATTTATTTAAAGTATATTAACTGTAGTAAATTACTAGTTGTATTTTATGGGTGGGAACTTACAGTTTTTATTAGAGCTTCTACAATGTCTTTTACTGCTATCCTCTTCCTTGTTCTGTTCTCCCAACCAATCTCCACTTCCATGACAACATGCTAGAAAGAATAGCAAGAAGCTGAAGTTTCCAGAGACTCAACCCTTTCTTGATTTACTTTACAATGTCAGATTTCTCCCCTTACCCGGTCTTGATAAAGGATACAAGACGGGTGTGACTGATCGGCAGAGGATGATATAACCATTTATCATGTTTTCAGAAGTTCGTGTTTGCTCTGCTTGCAGTTTGTATTGTTTCATTGAACTATTGATCATTATTATATACTGTTCGTTTTCACATTTCATGAAAATACACTCACTGTTCCCCAATCCTCCAGGAAGTTCATGTAGGTCTGCTGGTCATAAGTTCTGGGAAGTGAACAAACAGTTGCTGCAAACTCGTCTCCAATGTCGAACTTACGACTGTGTGCTAAACTTGTCATAAACCTAGATCTACCTTTGTTGCAGAGCCTGACTTCGTCAATATAAAAAAAGCTTCCCTGGTGAGTATCCGAGCTGATGAATCGAAAGCCTACAATACACATAGATAAATAGAAAATTATCTTTGAGTTGAATATCCTTGTCCATTGTTTGATATATATATTAGATAAGCAAGTTAGGTGTACTTTTTAAGGTAAAAAGAAAGACAATTCACTTATTTGTTTGATAACAACAATATTTACCTTCGCTTAAAGAGAATGCATGGTTGGTTATATTCTCTGTTGTATTCCCTGCAATAAATATATTTTCGTATATACAAGAGAGCTCGAGATGGTCACTGTCTTATAAAAATAGTAAAATAATCTAGCTGCTGTTACCGATACCTATCAGATCATGCAGAAGTCTGGTTTGGTAGGACTTCGTGTTGTAAAACACCTCCTTATATTGTGTGGGAAAACACAGAGAATACTCATGGTAGGAGAGTTCACGTGGAGAATCAGGCGGATCCAACTTAAGAATCTGACGCGTCATCAAGAGCCCCGGATCCTTTCCCGCGTTTATATGGCTATCACCGTCAGGATTTCCTCTCAGGAGGTTGTATCCCATCCCCACAAACAGAGCAGCCGGGGGAATCGTCCCAGAAACGTAGTGAATGAGTGTCATACAGAAGCATGTTATCATAGTAAACTGAAACGAAAAGACATCAATAATTCATAAATCGTCTAAGAATAGACACGAACAAGGATGGCGGATATAAAAGTAAGAAACAGAAAAAAGGAAAATGAATTGTAAAATTTTCATTCGCCCTTAATAATTATTTGTTACCTGTCTGGGAGGTAAAACTTAATTATTCGAGGAATATATTTTCCTTGAAGTAGCTAAAAAACCTATTGACCATTTCCAAGGGTTTTAATACTAGTTTTTTTTTTCTTTACTTCAGGATCATAAACTTTATTTCCGATTTCACCATTTTATTCTTACAAATTATGGTACATTATAATTACAACTTGAATGGGATTATTATTTTATGTATGTACAATGTGTTTATACAGATAAACATATAAAGCGCCTTACCATTTCTGAAACTTTCATGCCGCTCTACACACCTTATATAGAGATAAAGCAATGAAAGTTCAAGATTAAGGATTGTCATTTTCCGAAAACAGCAAAGATCTTCATATTCTGAAAAATGTTAGAGTTTCTTAAATAATTTTTTTTCAGTTTTTCTTTCTTTTTTTTTAAATACACCCCTATGCTTCTTTATGAAAATATGCATTCTCATTTTTTTCTGTTTAGAAAGCTAATGCACGTTGGCAATTGAAATATGCCTGCTGATTTATCTGAAGATAATCAACTGAATTGGACATATTTAATTTCAACTTACATTGTCCACTCTGATCTGTTGATTTTATTCGTGTTCAGATATATACTAATGCATTTTGTCAACAGTTGCTTCCTTGATTATCGTCTATAGTCAACTAATAAATATCAGAAAGAAATGGTGGAGAGTGAAATCACAAAATCAGTCATCTATGTATTTTTATCTTTGAAGAAATATTTACAAAATATTTTTGAAGAAAGTGTCATTCTGACATACTGTTACATTTACACCCAAAGGGAAGCTACTCCAACGGTTCTGAAGAGATATTACAATAAAAATATACATCACTCAGTCAAATTTATTTAAATATCTATCTGGTATTTCATTTTATTCTTATTAATTTTAAGTGTGACTTATATTGGAAGCTAGTTGAAGCTACTTATGTACATTAGAAAAAATAAACCCGATAGATACATGCAACATTCTTTGGCTGGAACAGTTTTATATATGCAAATCTTGCATTCAAAAATAAAATCTCGTCACCCTAGCTAACGGAAACATGACACATTTCTTTTCTTCCTATCTAATATGCTACAAATAAAGGTAATCGGTTGATACCGAATATCAAAATCATGATATATACAAAATCTGAGTGCATGTGTAACAATTAAACACGGGTATCCATCCTGAGTAAAAATGTTTTACACTGTACTACAAAGTAATAATCCACACCTAACAGAAAATATTCTGGATACTTCGTGTAAAGATTAATTATTGCTATCAGATAATGTTCCAAATCATTAGATAAGAAGCTATGATAAGAAACTATATACCTGAATCATGATTCATATTTGAGTACCTTTGTATACAACACTGTGTCAGGTTAAATGTAAAAGTCTACAAGACATTCCCGTGTTATCACAGTTTCATTCCCATAGAAAATTTTGAAACTGCGTAAAATCTAACTTCATATGAATTTAATTTTACTTATCACCCTGAACCACTTCATTTAAATGTTTGATTACGGACTTGTATTTTTTCCAGGTCGTGTTTGGCATTAGTAACTGATCAAGAGATTCGACCCAGCATGATGTTCGGTGACAAAAATTAAACTTAACCTAGAGCTTATATTATTCATCCATTGGCACACAACAGATTATGCACATAATTATTTATTATTTGACATAACCATGTAAAAATTTGAAAGAAAACATGACGTTAATGACCATACAAGCTCTTTTTTTCTATTTTAATTAGCTACATGTATGTACATAGTTGGGTGGGGGGGGGGGCGACATGGTTAGCTTTTAATGCTAACGTTGCTTGCAGTAATAAAGAAAAAAAATTAAAACGTTAGATTTTTCTTCACTTTCTACAAGATAAATTTAAAGACCAGAGACAGATTCTTCAATAAAAAAGGGGCTCGGAAATTTTTATATCTTGTGATTGGTCATGTACAAAATTACTCAGTTAAAACATTCTGATCCACATGCTAGTCATCTGAAGCTGATATTAAGGGGATGCTGGAGTTCCTCACTGACAATATCTATATATGTACGTGTGACCTTTGGAGACCAACTATTGGAACTCCGATGGGCATTTAGTGTGCCCCTTTATTAGCCGAACTGTTTGATATTCTTATGAAGCAGAAATTATTTTTAGAAAACTTTTTATTACAAGAACAATTTTTTTCCTGTGGCCTTCAATTCGACATTTATATATATATATCAACGGAGTTTTATCTACAGTAAAAATAATTGTTTTCGTTCGTATGTCCATTGAACTCGAAATAAAAGACACCATTTGTTTCATATTTGAGTCTAACTGACTATTGGCGTAAATGGGCAACTAACAACTAAATTGTATGACAAGAATCTAACGGAACAACCTCAATTTTTCCGTCGCCAGCTTCCCTTTTTACATAGTATTCCACTATCACCGGACCTACAAATGTTGTATATGTCTCCCAACGGACTTGGTACGCAAGAGCATGCTTTGTGGACGATCAATTTTTGAACTGAGGCATGCTACTGACAAATATGTTGATTTTATAGGACTTTCACAACCCCGTTTAAATGCAGCAAATTTCATAAAAATTTAAAAATTAAAGTTTGACAAATTTTATGATTAGTTATAATGACCTCTTTTGCAAGTACAACCAACCTTTGGGTGTTTTTTGACCAACGCGTTTCATGAATACCAACTGTTAGACTTGTGGACAAGGGACTGCTTACTCATCCTAGGCACGTAATCCTATAAGTCTTGTAATTACAGGGGTCCATTCAAAATATGTATTGTTTAAAGGATTGTGAGTTGTATTGTTTAAAGGATTCTGAGTTGTGTTGTTTAAAGCATTCGGAGATCGATCACCGTTCCTTATTTTCACTTTTTTCTTCATAAAGAAAGAAAAACGTGACGAAAATTGCTCTGAAATTGTAAGGTATTAGTATCATCCAAATCGTATTAAATTCGGATCTTTTGCCTGATCCTAATTTTGATATGTCGTTTTTTAGCGTGATTTCAAATCAGGGAGCGGATCAAATATCTGTGTGAATGAGATCGTTATCTTCCTCATTTAAAGAAGTGCGTTTCTCGTAGTTTGAACTGTTTTAGTTTTATCATCAATGTTCACCTAATGAAATATCTTTCTGAAATGAATACCTACATTCTAGCTGCAGTTTTAGCTCTAAAACATGTAAATTTGTTATATATCCGGGCGTTTTACTGAAGAAACGCCACGCTGTGTTATCGAGTTGATAAATCATGTACTTAATTAAATGCCATTCTAAAAGGTATTCAAGGGAAAGAAATGGCAGGATAAACCGTGAATGATTACTAGTAAGACTTTCAGAGTCACGATTTATCTCCCTTTAAATGTTCAGCTTTTGTTGAGTAGGTGTGTGTAGAAATTGACAAATTGACATTGAAAAACGTAAAACATGGCCGCTCTCAATGTTATCAGCAACCCGTAAATTCTTCAGAAGACGAAATAAGGATAACAGTCCGATTGGGAAGATTTACGACAAAATGGTTCTTTGGATTTCTAGAATAAACATATCGGACAATTAGGCTGTTGAAATTGAACTTTACTTGATTTAGGGCCAACTTGTAACTTTATTAGAGCTATTTATAATAAGTTTGCAAAACTTCCTGCGATTATACGTCTCAAATTCCGTACAGACCTTGCAAAAATGGTGCAATATTCCGCTATAAAAAGAAAATTGGTGCTTGTAAATCAATTCTGTTTTTCCTGTCGAAGCAGTTGGGGTTCTTTAAGGACAAATAACAAACACAAGACTTACTTGCAGTTACAGAGTGGCTTGACCAAGACACAAAACTATTTAAATCTCAAAAAGTACATCAGTCAGTATGCGCTGTTTTACATTCATAGTGTAAATTGACGTAATATATTAAATATTTCAACAGTAGAAAAATTTAAGAAAACGCTTAAAGATCAAATATAATATTACATGTATTTACGTATAGTTTTATTACAATTGTTACTGTCATACGAACTATGCACAAATTTATGACATTGCGATCCAAGAGAGACTGACGGAAATACAAAAAAGAAGGTAAAAATAGCTAAACTTTCTTTTAAAAAAACTGAAAAGAAACTTGGTCATGCTTATTGCAACGATTTACATAATAGGATGAAAGGAAAGAGAAGACAGTGTCAATATTTTACAAAGCAAATATTGTAAGTAAATTGACACTTGGAAGAATATCACACGCATACATGGGTTGTCTCTAGTTCTCAAACAACGTAGTAACAAACAAAGGATTACAGTTCTACCGAACCTCTCACTGCAATGTTTAACTGACACTTAGGTAGGTAATATTGACATAAAAACAACTCGGCAAATCTTCACACTTCTCTATGTGTTTTTTGTGTTTGCTCTCAAACACTTCCGAAGGTCCGAAAAGGCGACCAAATGATGGAATCGGCCATTATATTACCAATAATCTCAGGGGTTTACTTTGTTTTCAAAGTCTTTTTTAGAAATGGCTCTTGAAAATCTAATATTGCGAACTGAGTGGCTTCTTGGCTCTCGTTTGTTCCAATATAAGCACGTCCTCAACGGTGACAAAATCTCACGCTTCTGGAATTCGGTTGTATATCTTGTTTTTTCATTGTATCCATTTCATTTCTTTATATATTGACAGCTGTTTTCATACATGTAACATTCTTATCCCATTTTTTTTTACGTTTTGTATCAACCTGCTGTGCGCGTGAATAGTAATTAACACAATATCATTTTCATCTCAGATGACGTTTGACACTTTGGTCATGGTTAGGTTGGAGATCGGAGGGGTTACGTTCATTTGATAATGTTAATTTCAAATTTCATTGCTTATTTTCAGGTGCAAAGCGTAATTTATCACAATCAATGCGATACAATACCTTAATTTAACTATTGCACTGGGTTTGTGATTTAAAGGTTTAATAAGAATGTTAATATCTTAATGAAGCCATTATAGGGTTCAGTTAATGGCACAAATATACAACTATCAGAAGGTTTAATATCTGTAAATATTTACAATATGTTAAGTCACGCTTAAGGTAGACCAGAATGGCTTTATGACACGAAATTGTCACCGAGTCGACCCTACTACATTTGTATTATCAAAAGTAATCTGGTTTTCGACAAGATCTGATGGTTAAATGTTCAATAAAAAACGAGTATTGCAAAAATTATACAGATCATACAAGTAACTACGTACTAGGTGTTTTTGCCGCACCATAAACTTTGATAAATGCAGATGCTTGACAGAGACTTTGATATTCAAGCCGTTTGTATTTTTCTTCTTGTGGTGTAAAGCTTCAATTTAATTAAATATATAGTAATGCTGAGCAGCGGAACTATTTTCGTCACTGCAGATAATCACTCGACAGCTTGAGAATATTCACTGAAAACACCTGTGAATTCTTTTTTTGATTTTGTCCAATTATTTCGTTACCATTTCCTTTCAAGTAAACGAGAAATTCGTAAATCTTTAGAAGACGTGATGAAACAATCATTGATAGTACTTAAAGAAGTCCCCTTTTGTCTGTCAGTCATCATCAAAGCCCCGCCCACTTCCTTGCAGGTAATAATTTAAACTGGCGGAATGGTCAGTGACAAGAGAAATTCGTTATCGGTGTTGGCGACCTACATAAGACAGGGGACAATATTTATGTACCTATAATCCTCCAAGGATAGCCCCTGTATAAGAGTTGTTCGGCAGGTGGGCGGAACTTGTAAGTCTCCTGCATCGCTGGATAAGTTTTGTTTGTGTATCATTTAAAGGCACCCACGTCAGATACATGCTCACATTTAAGATTCTTAAAATAAGGATGTTTTTCAAATGACATGATGCTTCTGTTTTCGTCTCCTGGTAATCTTATTTATTATGTTAGAATTATACGGTAGATTCGGACTTTGACTAAATTCAAGATGAATTTCAAAAGGACTCTACTTTGTGTAGCGGGTAAGTTGTTTAAATATTAATTTAAAGTGAGTGAGAAATTTTAATCTTTGCTAATAATTTGGCAATGGGTTGAATTTTTATTTATTGACAGACTTGCTTTATTGTAAGTGTGATCTGATATAATGTTATCAGTATCAACTATCTGGTTTATCAAATTAAAATGAGTCTCAAGACTCTGTAATTAATTTATACCAGCGAAGTTTAAATTCGACCTACCTGCACGTGGGATATCGTTCCTGATTACGATTTAAGATAACAGCACATTTAATTTGTTTCAGTGAGAATAAAAGCAGAAGCTGAAATGCTTTTTAATTTGAAGTTTGACGTTTTCTTTACTTCTAAATAGTTTTTATGCAAAGGAAATCACTGGTGATGATTGAATTTACATTAATTTTAAGTGTTGTGTTTTGTGCTTTCTGAACCGACGTTCGGGTAAATAAAGTCAAACTCGAGGAAATCTTTCAAACGTCATATTATTCAATACAACACTAATGTCTATGTTTTGCTCAATCAAAGTTCCCTCTATAAATTATCATATTGAAAGATTTTAAAATACAATCCGAGTAAGATTCCCGAACTTTCCATAAAAATTCTTGGACTTTTTAACATTCTTTTCTGGTTTCTACTTGAAAAGAATCGATAGAAAAATAACGAAAAAGAAAATTGTGAAGTTTAAGAAAATACAATAAATTCTCTAAAAAATGAAGGAATTATATGTGCAACACTTCTGGAAATTAAAGCAATTATTTTAAATTATTACCATATTTATTTAAAAATATCGATTAGAAAACTTCCAAACGTTAGAGAGAGAGAGAGAGAGAGAGAGAGAGAGAGAGAAAATTGGGAGGGTGGCGTCTCACTGTGGGAATATTCACTGTTCTTAGTGGAGAAGTACCAACCACGCAGTTTGTTTCTTTGTACAACTTGGTGACAAGTTTTCGTTTCGTTTTAAAGTCCTTAAATGGATACTTTGTAATATATGGAACTGACACTTAAATTGAAAATTTAGAATGAGCATATTTTACTGAGAGCGTAATAAATTAAACTTCATGAAAATTAAGTATGGGTGTCCAAATTTTTTTCTGCGTTGTCATAATTCCTAGATGAAAAAAAAAAGGTCCACGTACTTTACATTTAAGTGCCTGAAGATAAATACTCACAAATTAGGGTCATAGACGACAAACCTATTACCTTTCTTCTATCAGGTAAAAAAATATGATGAACGTTTTTACGTAAACGAACCTACTTACATAATTATCATGAGAGAGAGAGAGAGAGAGAGATATTTCGATTTAATTTGCAATACTAAAATGTTTGAGTCTCGAGACTTTAAATTTCAATATATTTAAAATATTAAACAGTTGCTTCCCTCGCTAAAAAAAATCATAGCACCATATTTTATTGACTAATTGCATCGTTCTTTCTTACAAAATATTTCCAAAATCAGAGTGTTAACACTTTCTTTCGACATTGATATGTGTCCATCTGGTATTCAACTAAAGCATTATAAGTATTTGCCATTAATTAACTCCAGTGATTGATACGCAATATTTAATCGAACGTGAATGAAATAAAACACAATTTGTTTCAACTCAGTAACTTTGGTGGGTATTACTTTGCAGCATGTATTTAGATCGTCAAGGTAGTGAAGAATTAAGGTGCACTTGCAACATGCGTCATGACGTCATAATGAAAAACGAGCTCACTACAGAACAATGCATTCACTTTTCACCTATGTTAAACATAAGAAGTACGTCTCATTCATGTTACTTCCGGCAATACATATCAAACGCATTTTAACTTCTAAGTATATCTGCATTTATACAAAAGATGTTAATCATATTTGAACTCTGACGTCACCTTTTTTGAGCGAGATCAACCGTTCAGCTGTACCCTGCTCGTGTCAACAGATCATGTACTTAACGAAGTGATACGTTTTTTATCATTGCAAACCATTGATAAGTGCTTGGCATTATTATTTCTAGTACATGTTCTTTACAGTATTCTGAAATATTAAAATTTGTCCAGATCCACTTTGGAAGCACTTCTGCCTGCGGCTGCAACTTCCGCCAGTCTAAATGATTGTAACAAAACACGGATCGTCTTCTTTATTTAATCAGAAAACATAGATTTCATTGTTTGGATAATTGTTAAGGTGGCCTTCTGACACGCCACACCAATTTCCTTTGTATTTTGCCATTTTAACACAACCAAACTAAGCTCGCGAGGGCACATCACGTGTATTATAAATTAGAATATTATCTACAAGATTGGGTTTTATTGTTACTAGGAATTAAGTTGATGTATATTGAATGGGTCCCTCACTCGGTGGTAGCGGTCAACTGCCGGACCACCGCTTTCTTTCATTGTTATAAAACTGGGACAGACACTATCAGATATCGCCTCCTCGTCTTTTGGAATGGACTGCCGATTCTCTAAGATGCTCAAATTAAAAAAAATCATGTCTACTATAGACATTGCCCAGATAAAGGATCGCAAAAGATCATGATTTTGATCTCTTGGTCAAAATAGAGTAATGCTGCATGTACTTTGCTGTCGAAAAATAACAAATATAGTTTTCCGATGTAGACCTCATTGTCTGTATCCAACAGGATGGAATCGAGGCTCGTGACAGATAAAACAAATGTTCGCACCCTAAGTGTTGTCGGAAGTTACTTCAACTCTGTCCTACCTAGTTACCACGCCATCTTACGTAATCTAGGCCTCTGAAATAGATAAGATGGAATCTAATCTAATTAAAATTAGATATTGGATCCGCTCGCATACTCGCTACACTAACATGTTAGTGTAGCGAGTATGCGAGCGGATCTAAAATCTAATTTTAATTAGATTGGCCTGTGCAGTACATGAAGTGAAGCAATCTTCAAGCTTTGTTTGCTTCCTGAACGATCATGTTATTACACAACCATTCTGCCCAAGAGCCGCGGAATTCGCCCCCTGATTTATTTTATGCCCCCGTATCGAAGATGCGGGGGTATATAGTTTATGCAATGTCCGTCCGTCTGACTAGCTGTCTGTTTGTCCGCAAAAACTTTAACATTGTCCATAACTTTTGATTGGTTGGCGCTATGGCTTTCATATTTCACATGTGTATTCCTTATCATATTTGACCTTGGAGTTTGTCCCAGTTTTGCAAAATTTTACTGAACTTTAACATTGGCCATAACTTTTGAACAATTGGTGCTAGGGCTTTCATACTTTACATGTGTAAGCCTTGTGACAAAACCTTCCTTTGGTACCAACTTTGACAATTTGACCTTGACCTAGGAGTTTGACTTACTTTTGAAAATCTTTAAACTTGGCCATAACTTTTGAATAGTTGGTGCTTGCTATGGTTTTCATATTAAATATATGTATTCCTTGTGTCCTTTGGATAACAACAATTATAGACCATTGACCTTGGAGTTTGATCTACTTTTGAAAAACTTTGTAACCTTGGCCATAACTTTTGAACGTTTGCTGCTAGGACTTTCATATTTCACATGTTTATTTCTTGTGAGAAGGCCTTTCCTTGGGCAGCCTTAATTTTGACCATTTGATTTTGACCTTAATGTTTGACTTACTTTGGATAAACTGCAACCTTTTTCATATCTTTTCAATGGTTGCTGCTAGGGCTTTGATATTTCACAGGTATATTCCTCGAGACAAGACCTTACTCTGGGTACCAACATATTTGATTTGCATTTGAGAAAGTTTAACCTTTGCTATAAGTTGCCATACGGGGGCATCAGTGTCTCACAAACACATGTTGTTATTTCATTTTATTTCAATGCCCCATCATCGAAGTTTCGAGGGCATATAGTTTTTGCTCTGTCCGTCCGTCTTTCTGTATGACTGTGTGTCCGCAAAAACATTGCCCATAAGGTTTGATCTGTTGAAGCTAGGGCTTTCATATTACACAGGTATATTTCTTGTGAAAAGACTTTTCTTTTGGTACCAACAAAATTGACCTTTTGACCTTGTCCTTCGAGTTTAACCCACTTTTGCAAAATTTTACCAAACTTAAATCTAAGCCATAACTTTTGAACAGTTAATGCTAGGGCTTTCATACATTATATTTGTACTCCTTCTGGTAAGGTCTTCCCTTGGGTACAAATTGTTTTGACCTTTTAACCTTGACCTTAGATTTGACCTACTTTTGTAAAACTTTAACATTGACCATCAGTTTTGAATGGTTAAATCTAGGTGTTTCATATTTCGCAGGTATATTCTTTGTGACAAGACCTTCCCTAGGGTTTTTAAAATGGATGAAGTTAGGGCTTTCATATTTCTCTTGTATTTCTTGTGACTAGATTTTCCATTTGGTACAAATAATTTGGACCTTTCAACCTTGACCTTGGAGTTTGATCTACATTTGAAAAATTTAAACCTTGGCCATAAGTTTGGAATGGTTTAAGCTGGACATTTCGTTTGCGTATTTCTTACGACAAGACCTTCCTATGAGTACCAACAATTTTGACCTTTGAGTTGCTATAGGGGGCATATCTGTGTTTTACAAACACATTTTGTTTAAATTGTTATTTCTATTATATTACTTTTATTTGTTTTTTTTTTTTTAATTAAAAATAATAAATTAAAAAATTAATATAAATAACCGAAGCCATCAGAAATTTTTATAATCTTATAATCTCCAGTGTATTATGAAATATGGCTCTTTCATCACCGGCACAATTTTATCTTAGAAATGATCATGCTTGTAAATCTTTTGCAAAAGTATCTTTATTTAATGATGTTATTTGTAGAAGTGTTCGCCCTGGTATTTCCTTATTTTTTTTTGCTTGGATGTCACTAAATTGCTTCAACAGTAATATTTTATTTTTGAATTACAAGTCGTACACTTCATCATCAAAAGGCCAGATAACCAAATAGAAGATAAAAGCTGAATCTTATTACGAAACGTCCCGGATTGGCACTTAAGTACAAATAGTGGTTTTATTGACACAATTTTACCCTTATTTACTTGCTGTCTAGCTTTTAAAGAAACTTAAAAGGTACATGACAGTTTTATTTCAATAGCTGTTCTTTGGTCATTATATCTCGATTTAACAACAAAACAAGAAGTTTCATCAAACCTTTAATCTGTCAGTCATCTTTAGCTTACATGACTTAAATGGCTCTTCATTTAGTTTATTATTGTACAATTGTAGCGATAACTATAACTCTAAGTGTCTTTGACTCTAGTCCTCTGTAAGAAAGTCTGGTCTAATGGGTTGTGTCACAAGAGTGTAATTAACAAACCTTCACCTCAACGACAACATCACAAATCTCGTAATGTTTGATGAACATAACAGTCGAGGTATAATTATTTACACTTTCCTTCATAATTAAGGGGTAATATCGAGGTGCATGTCATATGGTCTTGCTGTACACCAGATCCCGGGATTAGAATGAAGTCAACATTTCATTCGTCTCTCGGATGCTTATTGTAAACCGAAACTCTAAATTTGCAGAGAACGGCAACTTGGTGATGCAATGCTAAATAAAATTTTTATTCAGGACTGTTTTACTGCAACTTTATTTCATTCCAATATAAACATTTTGACTTCGAGACGTTTCATGATCCCAGAGTCAGGAGGTGTTTCTGTACATAGGGCTTTTTGTTTCTGTGGAATACAATGAGTGCTATACTTCGAGACTAAATTGGCCATGTTCTATTTGGGAACAAATCGTTCTTGGATAAACGATTCCTACATGTATTCTCCATTATGCAAACTTCTTAGCTTACTGACCAAAGAGAAAAGAAAGATGGCACCTGAGCTGTCAGAACCATAATCAGTCGCAACCAAAGACTGACAGAGGAGGGAAACTAGAGAGGAGAGGATTAATCAAATATTGTTGTGACACAAAATCAATGTACATACGTATTCTATAACCAATGTCTCAATATTCATGACAGAACCATTGTTTTACGTTCTTCAACAACAACAACTAAAAAAAGTTTTGCTTCTAACCTGTTCTTGTGTAATGCAATGATTTTAACTGATTTGAATAATTATGCTATCCTTATGAATATTGCAACATCTCTTCATAAAAGGCACTTTCAAGCTTTACTTTAATGGCATCTTTAGGTGAATCAAAGGAAAAAAATAATGAATGGCTACGGCATTTTCCCTCTTATACGATATTTGTAGTGGATGTAGATTTTTTTGCATGTTTAATGTTTTACATACACGGGCACCTGCGAAGTTTTCTCTCTTTTCCAATATGCGGTAAATATTACATTTTTAATCTTTTGCTTTGTTAGGTTTTAATATCAATTTTATGATCATTGTTTGATTTTTAAAATACAGATTGCTTCTTGTGGAAAAAAATTAGCATTGATTTCGTTGATTTGTACTTTATGGCTGACTTGAGGTCGATCACAGACTCAATTTGCGGTATCAGGCAACAGCTAGTTCACACAATAGGTCCAAATACATGTACTTTCATAAGAGGATTTCTATTAGTGGTTTATTTTTAACCCCCCCCCCCCCCCCAAAAAAAAAAAAACTGATCTGAAGGTTTCTTTTATTGCCTATTACACAAGAACATGTTCATCTGAACTGAGAAAAAATATTAATTTATCTGCTAGACATTTAGAAGTTGATATCATTTGTGGAAGTGAAAAGTTTTTTGTGCATGAGTGTTCAAAAATTGAAGAAAAAAAAATTGCTGATGTATTTCAATTTTTTGTTGACATTTTGAAGATCCAGTTATGTTCAAATACTAGAGTGAAGACAATTTCTTTGTTTATTACACTTTCTGAAATCCTGAAATTTGCTATCGACACTGTTTATTCCTTGAATAAAAAGAAATGACCTGTGTTTTTGTCGTGTTTCATTTGCCTTTTATATGAGATCTGTGACTTTGAAATGCAATTCGTTTCTTCTGTGTCTTAAAAACCAAACACATGTATCCTCAAAACAATATTCAACAGAAAACCAAATGTAACGCGGTGTCACAACATCTTTTTAAGTCTTCAAAACATTTCGTTAGAAAACTTTAAAATGATGTAACAAATCTCCAAATTTATCCAAACAACACGGGTGTATCTTTGAAGTTGTTTTAGTGATATCCTTTGTGTAAGCCTGAATAACAGAGTGTACCATGAAGATGGCCACGTTGTCAGGACATTCCGTGGCTACTTTGTTGGTCCCCGGCAACATCGTCACAAGCTCTCTTCTGCAGCTTCAGGTGTCCCGTTCCACTAATGTTTTGTTCAGTTTCTAACAGATTCAACAAGTTTTATCTATGTTTGAGTTCATACCAGCACGGCAAATCATTGTTGTAAAGAAATAATCTATTAGCGTGAGCTGGGGAATCCCGTATCTGTGTATACATGAATCATTTTGAAAGCAAAAATATATCAAAGACAAGCTCGGTCTCTCCACGAGTACCTGTTATCAGAATTCTTATTTTTAACTAAAATGAACGTTCCTTCATCAATTTACAATTATGTCAGTGCCGATTAAAGAATCTTGATTTGAGCCAGACAAACGCTGCTGGTTTTTCTGTTGGTACCGTGTTACGATACGATAGGATCCCAGCCGCAGAACTGTGGCGTTGTATTGCTACATGTTTTACACAATGAAATATTGCTCCAATAAATCTTGTGTTAACTAGATCCAAAATCGTCCCCGATTATTGGCGCTATCGACAACCAGACTTCCTTCTGCTTGCTACTGAATACATTGCCAGGGCATCGTTTATCATTTTTGCGGAGTGCTGCAGTTTTTAACGGATAATCTGGTAGATCATAAAGTTAAGTTTACACTCTTATGTAATGAGGCATTTACACTATCTAGTCAACGAACGAAAGAGCACACCAAAAGTTCTGTATTGTCACAAATTGTTGAATAGAAGAAACATCTTATGTAACTTTCCACATGCAACAATTTAATCCTATTAAAAAACAAGAAAAGAATAATTTGTTAAGCACGAGTCCAAATATTTGTTAAAATTTAAGGGCAAACTGATGTAGGTAAATCGGAGCATAATTGATCTCAGTTGTCAGATAATGCCGTCAAAACATATATCTGTATTCAGGAAGAATGCTTGAAATATGTATTTGCGTTCCTTTCCCAGAATTTCTAAATTAATTCATTTTGTCTAATAAGTTCAACATATATAAGTTTATTGCAATGTGTATCAAATGTGATTCTTTGGGTGAATCTTGCTAAAGGGGTAAATAATATGCTGGTATATTATTTTTACTGTGTAATTCGGTTTGCTTAATATCACTGCAAAATCATGTTTTACGGTAATGACTTAAGAAAACTTAGGGAAAACCCAAAAATTTGTTTATAAAAGTGGAAGGTCCTTAAAACTTACAAAATCTAATAATGAATTTGTTTGTCCCCCCCCCCCCCAGAATATAAAACAAAGGTAGCCCTTTGATTTTGTCAATCCATAGATATATCGACTTAACAGAAAAGATATCGTCTCTCATTTCGTGCTCAGTCGATATGCTTTTCTGTGAAGTCATATATCTATGGATGACCGAATCAAAGAGCTATATTTGTATAATAATGTTGACGTAGAACAATCGTAAGTATTTTTAATCACTTAAAAAACATGATATTCAAGTAGACTTTTTTCCAAGATCTAAGTTTGAAAAGTGTAGTACATCCTTAGTCAAGAATTATAAGAAAATACAATATAGCAGAAAGTAATGTTTATTTTGTATACTCACACAATAAAAAATGAGATTCGCATACGTTAAGTTTTAAAGTTTCAATCAATTGTAGTATTGTAAATTGAATTTACTGGGTGGAGATAAAAACAAAATTTACGACAAAATAAGTCGATCATGATGTAAAAATTGTATTTACCTCCACCCAGTGGCCGATACAAATGTCTGTTATGTTTTGCATTTTGAAATAGAGAAATAATTTTAAAATTACTAGTTAGTTCTGTGTGAAACTTTATCTTTAAATATGGTGCATAATATTTACTCTTCTACTCATAATTCTTTTTCAGTGCTGCTTGAGATCGGAATCGTGACGTCATATTACCATCTCTATCGGGAAAAAAATTGGAGAAATAAAAGTTGTAGTCATATCTTAAAAAGAATCGGGCACTTGTCGATCGAGGCCCCCCAACCCCCTCACATCGCAGGCGAGTGGTCATCACACAGGTAATTATTCTAGGGAGGAGGGTTCTACAAAAGTTAAAATTTTACTGAATTTATCAGCAATATTTCTCGTTAATAAATAAAAATCCACTGTCAGATATATTTGTTTATTACATATATAGTAATAAATACAGGATTTTTGCATATACGATATGCCTGACGTAACAATAGCCGTATCCGCCCTACAGGGCTGATATGGATCTGCGAGGCTGATACAGATCAATATCAAATTCCTAGTAAATTAAAACTTGAAAAACAGTACTTATAATGATACAGGTACATTTGTACACATTTTTTGGTCCACATTCTCTTTATTTTAAATTACTATTCTTTGAAACAATAAACTACGTACATGTCAGTAGTCAGTGCACGATTATTTATTTATTTTTTTTTCTCAAGTTGATGTGTGCTGTATTTTATTACTAAGTATGCAATAAACATAATAAAATATACCCTTTTCCACATCACATCTTATATCAGCCAATGACCCAATATCAGCCCTCGAGCCTTCGGCTCTCTGGCTGATATTGGTGTCTCGGGCTGATGTAGGATGTAATATGGAAAATGGTATTATTATTCTCTATATAAAACATTTTATCGAAAAGATAAAAGACCAGAAATAACCCCAGGATAAAACAATAGGTACAAAGAGGAGTCTGGAATTAAAGAACAGAGAGGCATGTGTTGCAGAATGAAAGTGATGTTTTATATGATAAACGTCTCCAATTAAAACAGTATATGAAATATATATTGTATTGACCAAGGAAGTGAGTTTATTCACAGAAAAGCAACTCTATAGCTTGTTATATCATGATACATCTTTAATATCTTCATGTTGTGGGTTCTTTGCTATATGTTGAGGCATTTTCCCCTCGTGTAGGTTAATGTGTCCGCCATTCTTAGTGATGATGTATGTTTCCCCGTGAAATTTACACAGTGAACATAAATTTAGACCGCGATTTTCGTGTCATACAAGCTCATATCATGGCTACCTAGACATTCCACAAGCATGCTAGTAAAGGTGAAATATATCAATTATATCCCCTCCCGATTAATTCAAGACAAGTGCCCTGCCGACAGTGTCGGAGGCGCTTAGTACTAAAGATATCGTTATAAAACAGGGAACTGTATTCTAAAAATATACTTCAAAGAAACAACTCTGAAGTCCTTTCTTAATTGTAATAAATACCACGAATTCACTTTTATTAAATGCCTGAGATTCATATGATAAACATAATTAAATTATCGTTTCCAATCGTGATTCTTGGGCAAAGAATTTTTATTAGATTAGTCTCAGTTTACAAAAAATAATTATTGACAAAGTGTTCGTTTAAGCTTTGTATCTTTTCGCGCTATTTTTATCAGATTTAAAGGAATTACAACTGTGATAGAAGTACATTTTAGATATTTATATGTTTTAATTGGGGTCAATGATGAGCAATACGAAGTAGTCGCTGTTTGTACAGGAGATTAACCAAGACAGATAGAAGACTTAGGTACACACACTACGAGGAGATGGTCGGGGCCCTTTGTCTCATTACGACACAATTTTTCTAGATAACATTGACAAAGGTTAAAGTTTTTGTTTATCTTCTTCCACTTTAACACCCGAGAACATTTCAAGAGTTAAGATACCCTTAAACTGGATATTTAGAGTAATTTGATCTCGTTGAATTTAGCGACTTTAAATTAGAAATGTACAAACTATTTATCAGAACAAAGCCCACTGAATACGCACTTTTACCCTATTACTGACTCAATCGTACTTCTCTTTCAACAACACCCAGAAACAGATCTCCACATCAAATGTGACTAAAATCCGATCTAATTTGTGATAGGATTCTCAAATTATTTGTGTCATTTAGTGGAGTAATTTGACGATTATTTACTCGTGTTTTCTTTACATCCATGGTAAACTGATCTCTAACCAATGGGAAACAAAACAAAAAACCAACAGCCGATTTTTCTTTATTGGATGGAGGGCAAACCGTAAACTGAAAGAAATGCCATTACTGTTTCACTGAGGAAATAGTTGAATTCAATTCTTCAGTCACAAAATTGAAACAAATTAAAATTTGGAAAAAATAGATCCATCCTGGCAGACAACGTCCTTTGTTGATCCCTAATGGCATTCTTAGTGGCGTCTCGAGTAATAATGGCATTTCTTGTTAAACTGGACACAGCAAAATAAAGAGTTTGTAAATATTTCAATCACGCCGTTATTTTCAAAAGACACGTGTAAATTAAATTCAAGTAATTTAAAAAAAATTACCTTCACCACCTTAGTACTCACTAAGAGATTTTTTTCCCAGACATTAAAAAAAATTGTAAAATATTTTTTTTTTTTTAAACTTTCAGAGGACACTTTACGCTTAAGTCCTCTAAAATGAATTAAGAAAGACGTCCTCTTCTTGTATTTTTCTAAGTTTCACAAATAAATAACTTTTAAGAAAGATACGAATTTCGCATGATACTATAAGAAATGGAGAGGAACAGCGCGAGAAGATACAACAAGAAATCTGTATGGTTGGACATTTATATCCGTGATCGAAAGAGCAAAAACAAAGATTGTAATTCGGACAAGTCAAATTAATGTGCTTGAAATGTTTTATTCTTTTTTGTTCATTTCCAGAGAAAGTAATACATATATTAAGTTTGAATAGCAACTGGTAAATCAGAACTTGTTCAACACAATAACATTGTTACCAGCTTACATAGTTCAACATAAACGTTCCGGTATTCTTCCGATCACCAAAAAAAAAAAAAAAAAAAAAAAAAAAAAAAAAAAAAAAAAAAAAAACGTTTAAGGGTTCACTTCTCCATCAACGAGAAAAATCCTGACACATAATTTTTTGAGAAGGATTAAAAGCCAAACCCAAAATATATTTACTAAATGATTGAGTTACAAAGCAAAGCATGGAATGAATCGTTCATCTTTATTACGCTATCATTCTTCATCTTGAGCAGGAGGGATTAGAATTAATCTCTTATGTCTTATTAAATCTGACTTAGTGGGGTTTTGTAAACCAGTGTAACCGGCATAAGTTAATACGTATCGTAACCGAGTACGAGTTACCCAGGGTGTGAGGTATACGGTTTCATTGACTGTCTAGTGAATTAAGAACATGTGAAATATCGGATTCCAAAAGCTATTATTTTCTGTACTTCTGACTGTTTTTTTTTATTTCTTATTTAGATGCGAAGTTCGACCTGGACCAGAATTCATTTTGCGTAAATATCATTTTCGAAGACATCATTTTAAATTGCATCAGTATTACTACAAAGACCTCGGATGTAAACACCCAGCCTATGGCGTCGTAGCTGAAGGACAGTATAGACATCAGCGACCATCTTGGATCGTTCAGGGAGGCACCGAGACTGCATACACAGTTCATAATGTCTCCATTATACCATATGCAGAAAATATAGCAAAGAAGTTCACAAAAATATCAAAACTTTGTTCTGAAATTTCAAACACAAATTTCAGTACATTTAGGAAAACTCAGATTTTAAATTTTCCACCATTTTCAAGAAATTCCCATGCATCAAAGGACTATGACTGTAGTTTTGTGTTCAACCTTACATTCCACGAATTGCAGTTGATTCGTATGGAAATACAGCATCACCACGTGTTTAGTTCCACTAAGTACTTCAGATTGGTAAAAGCCAGAAGGGCCCGGTCAGACAAAGAGTTATTTTTAGGAGACGTTCACACTGATATCAAACAGCGGGCCTCATACAGACCCACAGCATACCAAGCGGCACTTAAGCCCGCTCATGTAAGTATTCTGATAAAAACTATCAATACATCATCAAATCCACCTGAACGATTCATACAATTGAATACAGCTTGTACCATTTTACTTTTGTGATTTCATACACTACATGTATGTCTCCACTCTGTCAGACACTATGTCCTTTTCTTGATTTAATTTTATTAGCAAGGAACGTTGGGTGGTAGCAGGAATTAATGGACAGTATTAATGTGCTTTTATTCTGAAGTCCTTATTCATATCGAAGAGAAGTATTGCAACGTCTCACGACCTAGCTGCTTGAAGGTTGAAAACTAAAGTATAAGGTTTGCTCCTTCCTTGGTATTAACCGTCACTGTAGCTCAGTCAGTAGAGCGCTCGGTCCGTGATCGGAAGGTCGTGTGTTCGTATCACGGCCGTGACTGACCTAAGGTAAGCAACTGTTCCTTCGCCAAGCGCTCGGCACTTTGAAGTGAAAGTTGCGGGTCCTTCGGATGAGACCTTAAAAACCGAGGCCCCGTGTCACGGTAGGCGTTGGCACGATAAAGAACCCTCACTGTTCAATGGCCCTAAGTGCCGTCACCGGTATATGGTGACGTCTCTATATGAGTGAAAAATTCTCGAACGGGACGTAAAACAACATACAATCAACCAATCCTTTGTATTAACATATTAGGGGAACACGGCCCACTTCACATTTACATCATACAATCATTTAAGAGAAGAATATGATACATCATGGGTAATGATACTTTGAGATCTTTCATTGAGTTATTTTCATGGCTTCTTTTGTAAAATGCGTTAATTTTGTATACATATAATAAATATTTATTAAAAATATATGATTAAATGATTCCTAGCTTTCTGATTGGCCGAAATCCAACATTCTAGAAATTTGATTGTTGTCATGCATTGAAAGTTCCGCTTTCGGCTACGACTTTTACCGACGTATGAAACAACCAAGATGGGGAGGTTTAATAGTTACAAATTTGTATCATTTAATCATGCATCAAATAAACAGTCAATGCTGTTTTTCGGCCAGTGATTTAGCAAGCCTCGAAGTACAATCATGATTACTTCGTCCTTCGGGTCGGTGAACTCTATTTCTCAGGTAGCTAAATCATATTGTTGACCTCAAAAACACAAATAGGTGTATATCATTTGATATTGATTTATTAAAATGTACTAAACCGATAGGTTTCAAACTTACTTTTCGCTTTGCTCTGACTACATTTTGTAGTAATATGTCCAGTCTGTGTTTGCCTAAATTTCTGTTGTTGTTCTAGGGTTACAATTTGGTATTGTAGTTTATATTATTCAGTCTTGGTGGCCATCCGTTATCTAGCCATTTTATTGAAAGTGACGTTTACACCTCATCAGCCCTATACAATAAGGACACATTATTATATTATACCTATATAAGTGTTGGAGGAAACACCGTGTGCTGAGCTCTCTAATAAAAGTTCCTTGGTGGTCAAGCTTAAGGTGCTTCTTCTTTCCGATAAGAGCAACACAAATTAGTTTCTCACATTAGGGGCCTTTGTAATCGATACAATAAAATTCTGTTGATCCCAATTAGTTCAGTTATTTGATGAGAGACGTTTTCCGTATGTCCATAGGCTTAATGAGGATAATATGATGGGTGGGATCTAATTAAAAATTGCTAATAGATTGTCTGGACCTCTCTTAATCCTGTTTGTAATAAAGACGCATGGTGATGTAAACATTGTCGACATCCTTACGAAGTAATAAAGTACTGTCCTTTCGTGTTGTTACATTCTAAATTTCTAGCCCGTTTCCCCTCCATTGTTAAATTTGCAGTTTTTGAAATGATAAAGTATTCCATGGAGTACAATTGTATACTTTCGTTCAGAAAATATCAAAACAGAATATTTCATGCACATTTTACTTTTTAAAAATAAATAGATTTTTTCTCTTTGCATTCAAAAAAGATAGATCATAAATATTTTTTTTTCCAAAGGATCCCCTTGCTTAATGTCTATACAAGTTTTAATTTTGCCGGAATGTGTATAAATGTAGTACCTATCAATAGTATATCAGGGTTTTGAGTTACAATATTCCTTCTAGGAATAAAAAATGCTTAAACTTGAATGAAAAACAAAAATTAATCTTTTTTCTCTTTTCTAAGTTTAACTTCATAAAAGAATTTAGAACTATGCGAAAGCTTTGGAACTTGTAATATTGTCTGCATCAGTCCTGTTCTTTACTCAAAGTCTTTATGACTCTTTCAGTTGTTGAAAAAAAAAAAACATTTAAAAATAACTTTACGAGACATTTTTAATAAAGTATTTCATTAATACAGTTTCATTTTTTTTTCAGACAAGGAAATGTCATGTGTGCAGTGTAATTGCGAATTCGCACGACTTTCTACCTCCCCAACTGAAGAGTAATCATTTCGATGACTTTGCCCTTCCCGGGGAGTGGGTCAGCACGAGATGCGAGACTCGACAATACGGACAATTTTTAACGAGACATCTAACTTTTCATCCCGATGGAAGATCATGGAATGGGCAATATGACTTCTATACAGATCCAGTGTGTCTGCATTCATCATTTTCGTTAGTGGTCAAAGGGACATATGCGACAAAAGCTAATTTCATCTCTGTTCTTGGGGCTAAAAAATGTAACTTTCAAATTCATAACCTTAAGGTCAAACCAATGTCCCAAACGATCACACAAAGCTTAAATATATTTGGTGGGCAAGGTTGCGGAAGACCCCATTCTTGGGAAAATGGTGTTGAACAGGATGTGACGTCATCTGGAGGTTGTGTATCTCTCGGAATTGTGTTACAAACTGTGGAGCACGAAGTTTTAAAAATCGAGAAAATCAATAATAAAAGATATCTTTATATTGGACAGAGACCTTCAGACAGAAGTGTGCGTCCATTGGACGAGTGGCCGACATCTTTTCAGGACCCTTTAATTCAGTGCTCAAGCTCCCGTGTTACACCCAAGAAAGTGCGGCCTAAAATGACAAATACATTACCTAAATTCCAAAGGCTTCAATCGCCTTCATCAACAAACAATATTCACGGTTGTATAGTTCAACGCGTGTTTCTTGTCGTAGTTAGTTCCTTCCTTGTGGGCCTCTTATGATTAAAAGATCAATGATCTAAGAATGAATATTGAGGGCAAGGACACAAATCAAAGCAAGTTAATGAAGAACAGCTCGATTGACAATGAAAATCAAAACTTGTAATCGGGAAGCTCAGAAAGTTTGGATTGCCACAGCGTGTCAATACCGAAGTTTGATTGACTTCATCCGAGCTTCATAAACAGTGCGCCACCCGCCATTTACCGTCTGTGCGTTAACGTCTGCTGAAATTTTATCAGCAGATGATGAAACAAGACAAATTACACCGTGAAATCTGTGCGTGCTTCAGAAATGATATACGCTCCATCATCATTAAATTCATCACTTCTTCCAATTTTCTTAGATCTTCGTTGTTGAGAAATGTCATTTTGCCTGTGTAAGTTTGTTGGTGTCATTTCTCTATTCAGCGTCTTCCCTAACTCTACGGGTAATATAAATCTAGGGCACCAGCAATTGTGTTTTGTTAACAAATGTTTCATTGTATTATTTTCAATGAAATAAAATGTTTTCCTCCTTTGTTTTTTTTCTTTTTCTTTTTAAGATTTGGATATGGTCCGTATTCGAGGGAGATGGTGGAGGAAAAAATAATAAAGAGTATTTTTTATGCTTTTATCTTCATGAAAGTAGTCTTCTGAACAACCAGCACTCTTAACATCTATTTTACACCAGAGTTTTTGTAAATATATCAAAGTATTCTGTATGCTTCTAGTCTATTAAATTTGTCATAATCGATTTTTTTGCATTACATGTATATATGATCAGTTTGACACATACATTGAAAATTAGAAAATTTGACATGATGTCTCTAATCAGAATGGACCTTGAATTTTATAATCGAATTTGGCAATGGCCAATTAAACCAAGTACACTGTATTGAATGGAATAGGAGGGGTCCATGGTTAACACCTGGCGGTCTATATTATTTCTATTCACTGGCACAATGCAATGTTAGCATGTCAGCCACGAGTTAAGCTCAAAGTAAGTATTCTGAGGTACCAAAGAACTCTCCAAACTCTGTCACAAAGTGGACGATTATACAGCAAAATTTATTGTCATACATTAAGAAATACTGAGATCTACGAATTTATCTTTAAACAATTCATACATACCTTTAATTGTTAATAAAGCGTTCATAATTCTGACTGACGTGTTACTCTAATTATGATCATGTCACAAGCCAAGGAATGTCGGATGAAAAGATTACGGAAATTTTTAATGACAGGATAACAATTAATGGCAGATATAAAATTTGTCCTCTAGTCTGTGATGACAGAAACGGAGTTCAGATGATAAACTAACATGTACATGTCAATTCTATCAAAAATAAAGCAGGCGCCCCATTTGTAAACCTGTCTGAAAATCAATATGTCGGAGATTTAATCCTCTGATGACTGTTAACTTTGGTCAAAGTCACATTATAATGTTATAAGTAATGTAATTTCTGAAAGTTATAAAGAAGACAAGGTCTTTTTACAAATTCATTTTCCATCACAACGTCTTAAATTAAATCGAGACCCAAACCTTGGCATCAATCATCTCTTTTTCAACTTTGTATGACTCTGTTGGGATGGGGGTCATTTTCAACGGGGGTCAATTTCTTATAGGTTGCACATGTAGAAAACTGACCCCTAGGGTTCCTTTTCTACAAAAAAATCGCATTTTTCTACGGCTAGGGGGTCATTTTTCAATGACTCTCCCCCATTCATTTTTCAACGGGGGTCATTACCGGTATTCGTCTTTACATCGGACGCCTGGCGAAGCAACAGTCACTTCTTAGGTTTAGAAAATCGAACCCCGGCCTCCCGATCACTCAAGCGAACCCCCTACCACTAAGCGATGACCGGTACCATGTCTTTTGAAAACACGCTTTTAATCCAGCTGATGAAAAAGGCATAAAACAAAAAAGTTATTAATTATAAAGAAAGAAGGGGAATCAGTTTCCAACAAAAAATTGTGCAATTATATTTTTTTTTACTTTTAAAATATTATGGGAAAGGAAACCTAAGGATCAGCTCCTTACTCCGCGACTGTAGAGCAGACGTCCGTCCGTCTGTCCGCTCCAACCGCTGCGCTAAGCGGGCGACGTAAAATATTTATATTTAAAAAAAAAACAATTTTCTAATTTGTCAGTAGCTTTGATCGTACTTAGAACATGCACTTGCGTATCGAATCGGGAGACAAACAGCATTACAGGGGATAGTGGATTATTACTGCTAGATAGGGAAGGTAAACGATAAAAATCTGAAGTCATCCTGTTTGTCGTATATGGTTTAGTTATTAGTTAACTATTAGCGTCTTTATTCAGTAAAACATCAAACTATGGAAAATATGTGACAGATCTTTTATTTCGTATTCACTGGAATGTATAAAGTAGACATCTGAAACTAACTAGTGTAAATTGATAAAACGTCGTCAATGAAATATATGGAGATAACGAACAGTATTCAAGCTCAAAAGTCCATTAAACAATTAGTACATATTTCGGAGCAGAGCAAACACGGACTTCTAAAACATCAGAGGTGGGATCAGGTGCCATGGAGGAGAGAGCATCCCCTGCCGACCGGGTCAAACCCGCCGTATGCTCCTTGTCGGGAAATAACGGAAAAATCCGTCGACAATTCAATGTGCAAATAATGGCCTAAAAATTAGTATGAAAAACGTCGGTCAGCATTTGACTTGGAATGATAAATCGTATTTGCTGACAAGGTCATTGTATAGACCATAGAACTTGCGAAATGACGACTTTAAACGAGACTACTGATATTCTTGTTTCATCAACTTGTTTGTCAATAACTTACCTCGTTTTAGAAATTGTTCATACGTAGAACATGCTCTTGCGTATCGAATCAACTGAGAGAGATGTATAAACCCCGTATGCAGGTGATGAAGGCATGTTGCTGCATAAGTAAGGGAAGTTGACGATTGAAAAATTAAAGTCGTCATCACGTTTATCATTAAGCTTGGTTTTAAAATTACCATTAACGTCTTTTTCTAGTAAAATATCCAAATATGAAACAGATGTGTCAGACTCTGTGTATCTTTTATTTCAATCCCCCCTCTCTCTCTATATATATATATAAATATATATTAGGAATGTCAAATCGGTCAATTTTTGATAATCGGTTACTCGGAGGTTTTTCCGATCGAGTACCCCGGTACTCGGTAAAAATAAAAACACAGGTGTGTTAATTTTGTAGAGCCCCGTTAATGCTAATTTTCTTAAGCACGGTTAAGCTGTTTTTATCACGTTTATAAATGTATATAAACAACTGGGTCAAAGGGAAATGATTTTTTTGTACAAAATTTATTTATCAAATAAACACAAAAGACAATTTAATACATCAAAAATTACAAATGGTTTACAGTTTTTGTTTAGGATCTATTTCATCAACGCAAAAGGAGGACAATCTGTTGCGCAGGTTTGTGGTAATTAGACTAGCGAAAGAGAAGGAACGGATTGTTGGGATCGCTAGTCTAATATTATTTCATATGTTGGTTGTTTCCCCCTTATACAATAAACTTACTACGCAAACTGACTTTCAACATTTTTAATCTTTAGTTTTTTCTAAATATTTCTTCACTTTTGAAGTGGGTAGCGGCATTTCTATGTATGTTCGATTTCGCTACCTTATATTAATTTAATAATGTAAAAATGATTTGAAGATAATAGAGCATACTTAAACTATATTCTCTGAGAACAAATCATTGAAGCCATCCGAAATTTAAGGACCACGAAAGGCGAGGACAGCTGCGTATCAGGTGATTGGTCACTAATTACTGTATATATACACAGCCACAGGCGAAAACGGGTGTTTTACAGGTGTAGATGACGACACGCTAATTACCGTATGCATATTTAAATTATTTTTTTGATAAGGTTTTGATAAAAATATGTACTTTGAAATAAGAAAAAATACACTTCCGAGTAACCGAGTACCATTTTTAGTATTCGATACTCAGACGTTCGATCGAGTACTCGGTTAACCGGGCACTCGTTGACATCCCTAATATATATATATATATATATATCAAATCAACTCAACGCACGAGTTAGGGTTCACAAACAACATGTAAGGGACGAAACTGTCAGATGCACCCCATGTTCAGAACATTTTGCTGAGTGTGGTAAAGGAAAATTTAAGATTTTCCCGTTCTACAAAATGTGGACATCGGATGAAAGCGCCCGTGTAACCAAAGAGGACTATTTCATAAGACGGTTTAATCCAAAACTAAATCGCAAATGATAGATTATGTGTTCACAGATTTTATATTATTTCTATGCTTTAATTATACATTGTATTTTAACTGCGTTGAAAAAGTTCATGTAGCCGCTACCACAAACTTCATTGTGACGTCATAATACCTAAGATTTTTACGACGTCATTAGCAACGTTATTGGCAACGTTTTGAACTTTTCATAACTGTCTGAAGAGCCAACATGGCTGAAAGCGCTAACAGTAAAGATTTTATTTAATTTGGACTGTAGCATTCTGTTTTCATTTATTTAAGTATTTTTTACTGTACCAAGAATTTAACTTATCAACGTATATATATATATATATATATATATATATATATATATATATATATATATATATATATATATATATATATATATATATAAAGCACTAAAAACCAACAACACTGTATACCCTAAGTGTCGGATCTACTAAGTAGATACAAGGTCACGGATGGAAATTTATATAAAGCACTAAAAATGACCAACGACACGAACAATAATAAATGTCAAATTTTCGGGACGACCTGTCCCTTCCTCAGGACAAAGAAAAAAGTTAAGAAGTCATAAAAACAAAGGAAATAGAGAAACAAAAACAACTAGCACTACTAAACACTAAATATTTACAGTGTTACATATTTAATTTGAAGTTTATAAATAGTTGTGAACAAAGAAATCCGGAGCGCTATAAATTGCGTCCGTTCTATCGGGTGTACTCTGGTGAAGTGTGATTTACATAATTGAACGAATTAATTATCGCTAATTAATTACGACAAAGCAGTAAATCGTACATTGTCTTATTCTCTCAAAATAGCGTAACTATACATGATAAAAAGAAATTAAAGAAAGATAATATGGAAGGGCAATTTTAATATATGAATTTTGATATATTATAAATTTGAAAATCGGATAAAAGAAATAAACAAAAATGTAAGCTGTAAATGTTTGGGTAGGTTGTTCCAGAATTGCTAATGCGAATTAACGGTAAAGTTTACACTAAATAGAGAGAATGAACTTGTTTGTTACAATCCGGGATTGGGTCTAGTTCACGTTCATCCTGGTGACGTCATTTAGTTTGTTAATACCATTAGGGCGGAATGACTTCAGCCTGTGCATCCAGAACTTTTCCTTGCCTTTTTCTCTGAGCGTCTGTCCATCTTGGATTATGGTCAATAACCACTACTGTCATGTCCTCCCATTTTTGACCTTCAAGGTTGAAATGTTCCCCAATGGGTTCATTGAGTTTTTTGGTCCTAATGGTAGAAC